TGGGGGACCCCGCTGGTCCCAGTGCTGAAGCCCAACGGTCAGGTCAGGTTGTGCGCAAACTACAGCCTGACAGTGAATCCACAGCTCCGGGTGGATCCGTACCCACTACCTGCGCCAGAGGACCTATTCGCGAACATACGAGGTCGAGTGTTCGCAAAGCTGGACATCCGGCGGGCATACGAGCACATGGAGCTGGACGAGACGTCACGGGACCTCACCACGGTGACAACGCACCGCGGCTCGTTCCGTATGCCGTATGATCCGTATGCCGTATGGCATCGCCAGCTGCGGCTTCCTGTTCCAGCAGGCAATGGACAAGGTGCTGGAGGGACTGCCGGGCTGCGTGTGCTACATTGATGACGTTCTCATGGCAGCGGAAGACGAGGCAGAGCTGGTGACACGGCTGGACCGGGTCCTGACTCGGCTGGAGCGTCACGGCCTCCGGCTAGAACGCTCAAAATGCACTCTCGGGGCGAGCGAGGTGTCTTACCTGAGATGGCGGATCACCGCGGACAGCGTCAAGCCGGAGGAAGACGGGACAGCCGCACTGCTGGAGGCGCCAGAACCACGTGACGTTCACCAGCTCAGATCCCTGTTGGGCTCGGTGAACTACTACAGTCGTCTCCTGCCCGGGCTCGCGACAACGCTAGTCCCACTGTACGCGTTGCTGAAGCGCGGCTCGCCGTGGAACTGGACGCCGAGATGTTCGGCCGCAGTAGATGAAGTAAAGCGGCTGCTGGCGAGCGGCTGTGTGTTGGTGCGGTATGACCCCGCCCTGGCACTCAAACTGGTAACAGACGCCAGCGCCACTGGAGTCGGCGCGGCTCTGATACACCGCATGCCGGACGGCACAGAACGACCAATCATGTTCGCGTCGAGGACGCTGACACCGACAGAAAGACGTTACGCACAGGTCGAGCGGGAAGCCACCGCTGTGCAGTTTGGGCTCCGGAGGTTCAGCAGGCTCCTGTTCGGCCGGAAGTTCACTCTCACCGCGGACAATCGGGCTCTGTCCCGGATCCTGAGCCCCGAGCGCGACCTCCCCGGTCTGACCGCGGCACGTCTGCAGCGGATCGCCATGGAACTGGCAGCATACCAGTACAGCGTAGAGCTACGCAGAACGGCAGACATGGCGCTCGCGGACAGTCTGTCGCGGATGGCGCTACCGTGCAGCGGAAACGTGCGGGCGGAGGCGGACAGAGAGGTGGCGGGAGTCCATTTGTTGTTCATGGACGGCGCGGGAGCGTCGCTGACAGCCCGCGAGATCGAAAACGCCACCCGGCGCGACCCGCTGCTAGCGAAGGTGCTTATGTATATAAGACACGGATGGCCGACAGAAACGAAGCCGGAGTTGGCGCCGTTCCGACACCGGGAGGCGGAGCTGTCCACAGACCACGGCGTGGTACTGTAGGGAGGCAGAGCGGTAATACCCCAGAGGCTGCGGTCGCGAGTACGGCAGGAGCTGCACACCGGACACCTCGGCAGCGTCAAGACGAAAGGAGTGGCGCGCCGGTACGTGTGGTGGGCGGGAATGGACACAGAACTGGAGGCACTGGCGCGGGATGGTACCGCATGTGTAGAAAAGCGAGGAGCCCCGCCACGGAGCGCGCTGCACACCTGGGAGCCGGCTGGAGGCCCGTGGGAGCGAATCCATGTGGATTTTGCCGGGCCGTTTCAGGGCTCCTGTTTCCTCGTGGTACATGACAGTTTCAGCAAATGGCTGGGGGTGTGTCCGATGAGAGACACGGGCACAGAGAGCACGGTCCGGGAGCTGCGAGCCATGTTCGCTCGTTTCGGTATACCACGGCAGCTTGTCTCCGATAACGGACCTCAGTTCACAGCGTCACAGTTCGCGGAATTCTTGAGTGGGAACGGTGTACGACACGTCAGAGTAGCACCATACCACCCGAGCAGCAATGGGGCTGCCGAACGAGCGGTCCATACCGTTAAGAACGGCCTCAAGGCGGCGCTGAGGGACGGGGGCTCCCTGTCTCGCCGGCTGTGCACGTTTCTGATGGCATACCGCGCGGCGCCGCACTCGACGACAGGTCGGACGCCGGCGGAAGTGATGTTCGGGCGCCCGATGCGCACCAGGCTCGACCTCGTGCACCCAAACATCACACGAGATGTACAAGAGAAACAGCAAGACCAGAGGGAGGCGGCGGGAGGAAGGTCGCGCCAGTTCAGGGTAGGCCAGACCGTGTGGGCGCGGGCATATGGCGGCCCCCGACGGTGGCGGCGCGGCGAAGTGGTAGGCATCACGGGCCCCGTCTCGTATCAAGTAGACGTCGGCGAGGCCGTCTGGGCCCGCCATGCGGACCAGCTCCTGCCAACAGCAATACGGGAAGAGCAGCAGCCGACCGAGTCGGCTCCGCTGGAGCCGTCGCAGCAGCATCCAACCGACCCTGCTCCCGGCCGGCAGCAGCATCAGATCCCGGAGGCTCACAGCTCTCTCGGGGAGAGAGAAGAGGAGGAGGAACAGCGACCGGCACCGACCAGGGAGGAGGCAGGTGGTCGCGACCAGACCAACGCGGAGCCGGAATCAGCTCAACAGAACCGAGCTCCTGACGGGCCGGACGCCGAGTACCAGCAGACGGGGCAGCCGCGCGCCGCCAGCGCGCCGCCCCCGCGGACGAGGCAGGCGCACACGGCCAGCGCGCCGCGTCACGAGACGCAGCCGCGCCGATCAGCGCGCACCATCCGACCTCGGCTGCGTTTCAGGCTGTAGGGAAGCTCCAGTATGGGGACGGAGGGTGTTGTATCGTAGCCTCGACATCGTGGTTGTGGTTTATGGGCGCACCGCGAGTGGCGCCACTGTCGGGCGTTGGGAGGCAGTCGGCCCGGAGCCGCCGTGCCGTGCGCTTGCTTGTTCATACTTTGTAACTGGAACTCACGTTAACATCAATAAACAGTTGGGAGATTCAACACCTATCATCTTCAAAAATTGCCATCTGATGATGGTATAATTTCGGCGACGAACCAGTAATGTAATTTTTAACATGCGGACAGCAGGCGATTTATAACATGTACTAAGATGGCAATATGATCACCACACCACGGACATGCGAGAAACCAAGAAAAGTATCCCAGTTCTTCACATTCGTGTCTCAAATTCCCTTTTCGTGCGCTTAATCTTTGTACATACGTGCCCGGGCCATATATGTCCACTTGCCTGGTCAATGTGATTGCCAAGTAACCTTCCACTTTACCCTTGATCTCTTAGCATTTTTTTCTAATTTTCGTACATGATCTTATTGCTGCTGTTGATACACTGTCTGCATCCATCCCTGGCACTCTTGATCGATCAGGGGCCCTCCACCGATTATTCCCACTCGCTCGCAGGGCTCTACACGCCTTTTCCAGGGCCCCATATGTCAGGGTGCACTCAGCTGCTCAGGAGCCGTTCGTATCAGTCACGGGCCCTTTACACTTGCTCGGAGGGCCTTGTGCTGTTGCTGGGGCCAACATAAGGTAAGGCACCGAAACACCCGATGATCAGGGTCCCTCTCCTTTGAGCGAGGGCTCTTTTCCTTCGATCTCATTAGCGAAGGACTCTTCATTTCTATTGGGCTCTTTTTGTTAACCTGCCCGGGCACTTGTTATGGCACAGGGGTATCAATTTATGGGCTTGCATAATTCCGGTTTACTCAGATGGTCTTGTGCTCTGGACGTGGCCTTATATTTCAGCCTGCCGGGCACTACTGATCGTTTAGAGGCCCACCACGTCGGTCTCGGGTTCTTTTCACTTGTTCCGGGGATCGTATACTTGTTAACTGGAGCATCTTTGCTAGCATCGCGGGGCACCCAGGATCGGTCAGGTTCCGCCCCTTTTAACCTGGGTGCGTCAGCCCCAAAGCAGCAGTCGTACATGCGCCGATAAATTTTTACGCGCAGTTGTCGAAGATAATTTGCGTGCCTCCGACGTCGCATGTGTCATTCCCTTGGCGATTGAGTGTGTGACTTTTAGCAAACTCGTGCATCACGTTATTAGCGTATTTTGAATGCCAGAATATTTTGTACTTGTTTTTAACAAGCATAATTTTTACATTAGTAACCAGTCGTCAGTTGATTACGTCGCCCAGCCGGATAGTGGTAAATAAGCTAGGAATCGAGTCCATGCGTAATTTAAATGGAATTTAGCAGCCAGCTTGAGGCTATTTTGCCTGTTTTTCCGAAACACTTAGCCCCAGAGCCACAGGATTTAACGTGATCTGGGGAATATGAATTAACTGCATGTATGTGCATACACAACATGCCCAGCTTTAGCACAGTAAGATGGGTTCCCATATGTACTATATATATATATATATATATATATATATATATATATATATATATATATATATATATATATATATATACGATATACGAACGGAGGCGGATCCAGGTTTCCGTCAAGGGGGAAGCGCCACGCAACGTTGTGGAGCCCCTAGAGTTCGGGCCCCCTCCTAAAGGATGTGCCCACATTTCGGCCATTAAATGTCGAAAATAGCATATATATATATATATATATATATATATATATATATATATATATATATATATATATATATACGCAACCACGCAACCGACATTTAATGGCCGAAATGTGGGCACATCCTTTAGGAGGGGGCCCGAACTCTAGGGGCTCCACAACGTTGCGTGGCGCTTCCCCCTTGACGGAAACCTGGATCCGCCTCCGTTCGTCCATATATATATATATATATATATATATATATATATATATATATATATATATATATATATATATATATGCTATTTTCGACATTTAATGGCCGAAATGTGGGCATGTCCTTTAGGAGGGGGCCCGAACTCTAGGGGCTCCACAACGTTGCGTGGCGCTTCCGCCTTGACGGAAACCTGGATCCGCCTCCGTTCGTCCAGGGATTTTTTGGAAAGTGTATACCACTGACGTCATTTCACTTTCCCGTCTTCACGTATATCACTTCCTTCGTCATTCTGGCTACTGCATCACGAGCCTTGCGCGGTAAGTTCGCGGTGCTCGTTTCGGTGGTGGTGCTCATTATGCTTATATGAATTTTGTGATTATGGCGGTGATTGAAATACGTGGGTTCCAGCGTACATAAGTGGTGAGATATGTAACGATATTTCAAAATTATGTTTTTTTATGAATCTGATGCTCGTGGTGATTGGTCGTGTATCACGGCGTGGTGTCGGTGTGTGTTGGCATTCGTGCAGCGATAAAAACCCGCTTGATCAGTTTTTCTGTTTTGTTATATCTGCTCCCCGTCACCAAATGCTCATTTTGAGATCAAACAGTGAACTTTTATGCTGACAGGTATCAGGTATTTATGCTCATGTGCTATAGATTTAAACCAGATCTCATAGAATACACATTGCCTCAAACATGTTGGGTGTATGAGCAATACACTAGGAACAATCTCAGTGTATGAGTGCGGTGAGGCTCAGAGCACATATTTAGTGCATGGTCACCATCTATTTTAGTGGATAGATAGACAATGGTCCAGGTAATTATGATGTTGCTGTTGTGAGAATATTGCTCAGCCAAAAATCATGTGAAAGTTGACAGAATTGGTTCAGGCCAGAGTTAAAGGCATGCATACTTAAGCTTCACCACACTGATGCTGTGTAAGTGTAGGATGCATGGTAGATGTTTTTGCAGACTGGAATATAATTGCAGTCATGTGTTTATTATCTGTGTTCTGATTGGGTATACCAGGTTAAGGGTGTGGAATAAGCCCTCAATTAGATGGGCTTGGAATTTTGGAGCATTAGTCTAATGTTTCAAAATCTGCCTAAAGCAACTCAGTCATATGTGATATGAAGTAGCCACATGTCCAATGTATGATATTTGCTGGCATGTGCACCTTAGCACACAATATGATTTCTGTACAACTGCTGAAAAGATGCAGTTTAGCACTGTTAGCAAGACGATAATAGATGTATCTGATTCAAGAACCTCACATGGGACACATTGCTTTTCTTCCGCCACTGAACAATTGATACATGATGATGTTAGGATGCATACCTATCGCATAAATTACAGAAAATGGATACCTGACTTACATAGGTATGATGGATATTGGGATGTCTATATCACAGACACAGCTTCTGTGTGGCCATGCATGATAAGCTGGTTCAAAGACCTCATGTTAACATGATGATGTCATGATAGACATCATTTTGGTGAAGATTTTAAGAAAGTCTGGCATTTACATTTCACAATTACAGATGGCTTTGGAGACATCCATCTAAGCCTACTAATTTGAACATCATTTTGAATGGCTTGTTTGTAAGTTTGTTGAAGTTGTATGTACTGAAGAATTAGTTCATTAAATGTAAATCAAGTAATCCAGTTTTAAACCAGATGTGGCTGCAATGACAAGTGCCTGCATGCTTGCTTGGACCCCACAAAGGTCACCTGATATCACTAAACTCACTTTTTTGTTTCCTTTTTCTGCAGCAAATGTCCCAAACCCAATTTATTAGTGAAGTATTTAACAGCATTCCAGTCCATTCTGAGATTGGAGACATCTGTGTTACTACATTGTCACTTGCTCATACAAAGGCCACTATGTTGACATTATAGTACTGAATTAAAGGATATGTCTGTATGATACAGCAAGTAATGCCTGGTCTCAACTGCATTTTGATGCATTATGTTGCATTTACATATTCTAAGATAACTTGTCCGTGGCAATAATGACATGTGTGACCACTCCAGCATGCATGGTATGCCTTCAATTTGTCAAACAAACTAGGAAGAGGGGAGAAAGCAGGTCAACCTGCCAAGCTTTAACAGTATTGTGATGACATAATGTGGTACTGTGTACAACTGGACAGGACTGAAACAAGTAACGCAGGTTCCCTGAGATCGTGCTACCACTGACCTGACACACACTGGGCATGGCACTGCATGATGGCCAGATGTTTGTAAACTGTGATTATACTGTAAAATGCTCATTTCTGTCTCACAAGTATCTAACTTACCAGACTTCTATGTCATCAGTATTTTAAGGGCTGTCACGAGTTTGGCAGCATACCAAGCAAATGTTGATATCTACTAGCTATACCCTTTGTGGGTTGGTGGTTCAGCCCAGCCAGTCAGAATGTGCCATGAAAATAAACAGATATGCACACCAGTTTTTGTGATGAATATCTACCTGATATGCTGGTGTTTTCCAATATCTTCACCACAGTTGCCTAAAACATAAACCACTCCAAATAAACTCACCCCATCATTGAATACTGTCAGGCTTTGGCAGGCCCAAAGTCAGCTAATATGCCATCTATTCTGTCTAGTGTGCACATGCTAAGCAGTAGTTCAACTCTGGCTCCTCCTCTGAAACTCAAAAGTTAAGGTACTCCAATGCATGGATAGCTCCTATCCATATGAGTTATCAACAGTGACTGACTCCATTCACTTATATCAATGTATTGCTGCTGTGATGCATGCCATTGCTGTTATCAGCTTCCTCTTCCCATGCCACAGAGGCATCTTACTGAGTTTTACTTTCTCCTGAAATCCTCTGGCACTGTATTCATGTGTTTACCTCTGAAGGCATTTGCATGGTTGTATTCATCTTCATATGTATTGTTGCAGAGTCTCCTGACATGTGATGGTCTTCAGCCACAACACCAGGCCAAGACCAGCAATGCCAGGCACTCAGAAGATGTCTTCAGACAGTGTGTGTTTAGTTTGTTGCGGTACCCTCAAGAAGGCAGTTCCAGGAAACATATCTGTGTTTGAGCAGCAGCTCTCGTTCACTCAGAGACGTGCCATTGATCTTCTGGTGGAGGTCCTCAACACCAAGGTTGGTGTGCCCAAGTCATGATGTTGAAAAATTATGTGGATTATGCCTCATTGTTTACATAGGGGGGGGGGGGGACCATTGTTATGACAGGAAGATCTGATGTGACAGATCTTACCTTTTGAATTTCACATTGCCTTTTTAAGTATGCTTGGTCTTAAACTACTGTGCAATATTTCACATTTTATTTTCAAGCCACTTGAATATGTAGATACTTCGTCGCACGTGGTAGGTATTCCGTGAAAAGCGAACACAAATGTTATGTGTTGGTATGCCATATGCTCGAGACAGTGTTCCAGGCTGGTGCTCTGATGTACCCACTGGATCGCATGTACCCACTGTGACCAAATCCCATGCTCCAGAACCACCCTGACCTGGTCGTGGTGGACCAGCGTTACCTGGCCGTGGTGGACCAGCGTTCCCGGCAGTGACTGTGACCCCCCCCCCCCCCATCTTTACAGGAGTCGGCGCTGACCCGGTCGCGCTGGATGTGCGCCCACTGCTACGCCCAGTTGGAGCTGCTGGACAAATACGAGCGCGACCGGCGGCTGCTGGAGCAGAAGGCGGCCGCCGTGCAGGCCGAGCTGGTGGGCGCGCACCGGAAGGAGAGCGGCGGCGACCCGGCGCCTGACGGCGACGGCGTCACGGGCCGGCGCGGTGAGGCGGGGACGGCCGGCGGCAGCCCGGCCACCACCGGCCGGCGCTGCTGCGGCTGTGCTGTGCTCCTGCTGGCGATGACGCCGTGTGGTCACAGCCGCTGTGGTGTTCTCAGTGAATGGTGGCGGTCGTGGGTGCGTGCAGGATGTCGTGCTGTGTATGTGTTACGTGAGCTGTGGATGTGGAATCAGGTGCTGTGTGTGACAACAGACTTATGTGCTGTGGAATGGGCACAATGGTCTTGATCACGGCATTCTAAATGCCGACATCTGTCTATGCTCGTTAAATTTTGACTGAGGGCACCAGAAGACGTCTGTCAGTAATTATATGTGATATGTGTATGCACATGGACCATATCTTCCTTCAAAATTGTTCATTTTACGACCATTCCCCAGTGTTCCCTGCATGAGTAGTGTGGCCTCAGTGGCTGCAGGGTCACTTACCCTTGCCTGCACCAGGTGGCCACTGGGTATGGAATGTGGTAGTTACTCCCTCCCTATGTGTTTAGTAACTACGCTACTGGTCACATGGTTCTCGTATGAGTGTTGTGGTACATCAGTATCAATTGTAAGCTGTGTTACATGGGGTTGTTTGAGATCAAGGATTGTATGCACATTTTCTCTTTCATCCATAATGTCCATTTTTTCAACACAAAAGGAATACATTAGTTTTGATGCACATTGTTTCATGAAGTAAGACTCATGCACCGATTTGCGCCATTTTATTGAAACGATTGACGATGTTCTTTATTTTCAAAGCTTGGAAGACTTTGCAGAGGTGGCTTTGAAATCGAAGTCTTTACTGATCAATGATTGTTGTAAAGACTGGCTTCATTACCACAGAAGAGCAAATCCTAGCCAAGTTTGTGCCGAAATATTAATTGCGTCATATAATGCGTCAACACGGCCGCCCCACCCGAGCCCCTCTTACAGTCTTGTCCAGTTGCTGATTTCCCATCACCGAATAGCAGAACGCGTTTTTTTTAGACGCCAGCCCGCCTGTTCACCCATGGAGAGAGGTCAGTTGTCCGACGCTGTACCTCTGAACAATGGCGACGGTAACGGTGACGTCACTGGCGCAGATGACGATACTGCACAATATGGCCTGATGTGGTGGCTCTGTTGCAGGCATGGACGATGTTGTGGAGGAGTTGAAAAATGGCAACGAATCCGACACGTCTGAATATGTCGAAGTGAGCTGATAGAATTAGCATGGTTGTATGCCTCCGTTATCACATATTGTAGCCATTTGTCTGTTTTAAGAAGGTTGTTCTGTGTGCACGAGCTGCGTAAAAATGAAGTGTTGCAATCATGACGATTGGAGACGCTGATAGGGTAGTGGGACAGTCACTGCTGCGGATGATTGCTGCGTTTTCCGTGCACCTTCTCACTGCGTTTTGTCTTGTTCGGCAGGTCAAGGCCGAACACATGGCCACTAGCTCATTACAAGGTGAGTACTCGTGTCGGCAAGATCCTGTTTGGTGACTACGACCACCACGCCCATCATTTTGGGCAATTCTAGGTTAGCATAGCAAGAGTACTGATTAACGCAGGCAAGCGTTCACGTCTGGTAGTTGCAGCATTGTGCGCCACGGCGGTGCCAGATGTTCACCGCACCGACCTTTCCCAGATGGCTCGGAAAACGGTGACGACGACGATGCAGGTGATGCTGTGTGTGAGGTGAGCGCCTGGGTGTTATTGATGCTGTATGTGAGGTAAGCGCGTGGGTGTTATTGATGCTGTGTGTGAGGTGGGCGCGTGGGTGTTGTTAAACGCCTCAATTACGTGCAATTGCTGTCAGCTGGACAGTGCTGGCTGCACAATTTGAACACCCAAAAATTGCATCCCGCATGCGATCTTTGAAGATTAGCGTAGTTAAAACGCTACTTGTTTGAACTGTTGGCGAGGATGAACCACTCGCATGCGTAACGCACACCTACCATTCGTGTCTTGAACCACCGCTCAGAACTGCTGAAGCTCAAAACACTTTCCGAAATGAGATTGAACCAATCTGCGTAATTTCTTAAAGCTGTTTGTGCTTAACACGCGCTCGGGTGGGTGTCAAGTTGACCCCTTAAGGTTTTCCCAGAATGGTTTCCAAATGGCGTGGCGTAGCCGCGCCAACTTTGCATTGCTCTAGACAATTGGATGGCAGATCGTCTGGCATAAAAAATTTAGATGTGCCTTCTAAGGTCGTGGACCTATGGCAGGTCAAAGTCAGGCCATGGTTTCAGCGAAGTCAGTTACCAGGGAATCGTTCCTTCTGGTGCAACAACGGAGTGTTAGACGAAGTCATACACCTTTGAGATACTGTATAAGGCAACACAATTGAATAAGCAAATTTCATTGATAAAGGGTCAGGCATGATGCTCAGACCAGCCTCAAAACCAACCTGTTTTATTACTCTAGGGCTTGCGGCATGGGGTGTTGTCTGGTGCTCATTTCGAATTTATTGATAACAGGGACCGCATTATACACCTTCCGTGAACTTCTTAAAGGTCAGAATAGGTCACTGACCTAAGAAGACCCACGTCAACGTTTTGTTTTTAGGAACACTGCCGAACGTAATCTCTGTCGCTTATTCAAATACAAAACTCAGAGCGGTCTTGTATGATTTTGGTCACCATAACTATCGAAAGGTCAGAAAAGTTCACGGACCTTAAATGAGCATGTGACCTTTTGCTTAGAAGAGTTATGTAGGGTCTGGGAGCCCTTTGGAGACCACCCTGCATTGACCTTCTTCGACCTTATGTAACCCGAAGGTTATGACCTAGGAACCTCAAATTCTTACCTAAGTGAGTTCACGTTCAGGTCAACACTTCCTGTGAATTTTATCTCTAGCTCTCTTGGTTCCTGAGATCTCAGGGGGTCAAATTGACCCTCCCCCGAGCGAAGGATATCCAACCGGCCACCCGGGCGCGTGTTAAGGGACCTCATCGGATGATCGAAAGTCGGAAACTGCAGGATTGATAAGGCGATGACGTCACAGCAGCGAACCCCCACATTAACTGTTGGAGCACCTCGCTTCCGACCGCGGTGCTCATGTCCGGCTGTCAGCGCTCACAGCACCACTTGTTTCAGAACGAGACGGACCAGGACCCGCTGGCAGGTGAGGGGCGAGAGCCGTCTGAACTGAGTCGTGACAGCGGCCGCCCGGGCCCGGTGGCTACTGTACCGGGGCCGGCTGACCGCTAGGCCGGGCCTGGTGGTTACTGTACCGGGGCCGGCTGGCCGCTAGGCCGGGCCCGGTGGTTACTTTACCGGGGCCGGCTGGCGGCCAGGCCGGGCCCGGTGGCCACTGTGCCGGGGCCGGCTGGCCGCTAGGCCGGGCCCGGTGGCTGCTGTGCCGGCGTCGGCTGGCGGCTGGGCCGGGCCCTGTGGTTACTATACCGGGACCGGCTGGCGGCTAGGCCGGGCCCTGCGGTTACTGTGCCGGGGTCGGCTGGCCGCTAGGCCGGGCCCGGTGGTCCCTGTGCCGGGGTCGGCTGGCAGACACGGGCACTCTCCGGGAACGTCTATCGGACACCAACACCCCGGAAGTAGGCTGCGTACACGGGCACTCTCCGGGAGCGGCCAGCGGATGCGGACACTCTGAGAGCGTCTGATGGACACGGGCAGTCCCGGGAGTGTCTGGCGGATGCGGACACTCTGGGAGCGTCTGACGGACACGGGCAGTCCCGGGAGTGTCTGGCGGATGCGGACACTCTGGGAGCGGCTGACGGACACGGACACTCTGGGAGCGTCTGGCGGACACGGGCAGTCCCGGGAGTGTCTGGCGGATGCGGACACTCTGGGAGCGTCTGACGGACATGGACACTCTGGGAGCGTCTGACGGACACGGGCAGTCCCGGGAGTGTCTGACGGACACGGACACTCTGGGAGCGTCTGACAGACACGGACACTCTGGGAGCGTCTGGCGGACACGGGCAGTCCCGGGAGTGTGTGGCGGATACGGACACTCTGGGAGCGTCTGACGGACACGGACAGTCCCGGGAGTGTCTGGAGGACGCGGACACTCTGGGAGTGTCTGGCGCCACTGCGTGGGTTCCACAGTGACGCGGATGCTCGTCCGCCCACCGTGACGCCAAGGACGGAGCACGGCTGCCCGGTGACCGCGGCCAGGCTGTCTTGCTAGGAGCGGCCATGCTGGCAGCACAAACGACGGACGCAAAGAGCTGGCCCGTACGGAGTCCGGCCCGGCAGAGCCTCGGCATAACCTGCCGCCGCACTCAAGCGACCATCACGGAGAGTTGGCAGTGTGTCGGGTCTACAGAGTGCCATCAAGGTCGTTTTCGGTGGGCCTGTGGAAGTTGTACCGGACTGGCCTCCGTGCGTGCTCTTTCCCTTTGCTCGTCCTGTGCGGTGTCAGCATGGCCGTCCATTGCATGAGCAGGGCCACGAGTCGGCCACATGCTGTCCTTGGTGGCGCGTAGATGGAAGAGTCATGCCCACTGGGTCACTCACCTCGTAAAGATGTTTATTGCGGTCGCTTACCTTGGGCCGTGCTGTGTTCGATGTAGACTATTGCCCGGATGCTGTTCTTTTCAGATATTCCAGATAGGTAATGTCGGAACGGCGCCTGTCAGATTGCCAATTGAAAGTGTTCTGCCCTATGTAGGCAACAAGCCACGGGCACCAATTGCTGTTTGACATGTTCACGTTCATCGAGATATCGCACATACGGCTAACGCATGCAGCAACCATGACTGGCATCCAGATAGGCCAACTGTGCTTTGCTGGTAACATGTGCCGTGATTTGCTGGGCGCCTCTGGTGAACAGCACATGGGACGCGGCCGATTGTGACACCGGTACCGGCCCCAACGCGGCTGCCGCTCCTCATCTGATGGTGCGTGGCGTTTAGCAAGCTGTGGCCAGCGTGGCGCACGTTTCCGGCCATGGACAGGGAGGGGAGGCACGCGTCCCGCGGGTGCCGCGCGCGTCACGCAGTCACTGTCACTCATTGGTGTGTTTCCGTTCACAGATATGATTCCTGTGACTGAAGAGGTGGATTCTGAGCCTGATGATCTTAACGAGGTTAGCATTCACTGACCTCTGCTGCAAGGACAGCCTTGACCTGGGTCTGCAGTATTATGTTTTTCCCAAGTCATAGTTGTTTTAGCCCATGACCCAGTTTAAATGCTGAGATGTATGAATAAGTGAATTGGCCACGCGCATGCAACACACGGCCACCTCTTGCGCCGTGAGGATAGATCTCAATGTGACAGATGCAGTGCGGCACTGACTGTTCGCCACATGCTCCACTTTCGTCCGCATTTCGTGGAAGAGCGTCTGCCTGCGTGGATTCGGACGACAAGCTTAGACTAACCTATCCAGACATCTCGGGGAACGACTGTTGTTGGACTCAGGCCAGGTGTTTTTACTTCTTGCGGACGTTAAGTTGTCAGCATTTTTCCACATTTTAATTGGAAAATGTCGCACTTCCCAACTCTAGTTATGGGCGCAAAATGACCCCCGAAGTCGGCGCGCCCTAAAACTCCAACCATCATCATTATCAGTTTAAATTGCATTCGCTGAGGTTTCTCGCACATAGCTGTGACCATCTACCCCTGAGTATTGTTTGGATTATCGAAACCCGCCTAAACACAGCCGTTCATCACGCTGTCCGGCTCTCGGAGTTAGCTGGGCGTCATATTAGTGCAAGTGCTTTGTTACAGCTATTCTCTGCACCATTTCTTCATGCAAAACATGGTGGGTGTAGTCTCACACCGAGGTATTGAAGGTAGCAGCGGACGACTGCCGGTTGCGACGACTGCCGGACGACTGCCGGCTGCATTCCCGTGGTTTAGTGCAGATTCTGGCACGTTGTGGGTTAGGCTTCGTTTCCACTTTTACATCTTCTGACGATGGTATGAGGAGAATCCAAAGCACTAAGTTGTATTATCACCGGGGGAAATCGCCAGCTGCTCAGAAATATCACGCGTCTTTTATTCCAGGACGTTCCGGTTAAGGATCCTTTGGCCGGTAAGACATTTTCTGCTGTTTTATCGAAGGCCAACCGTGAAACGAATTGAAAATGTACCTTGGCGAACACTTGGGTGTTGCTGACTGTGTCATGTTACCGCTGAGGTAAGACGGCAGATCACCTTGGGTGTGGCTGGCTGTGTCATGTTACCGCTGAGGTAAGACGACAGATCACCTTGGGTGTGGCTGATTGTGTCATGTGTCCGCTGAGGGAAGACGGCAGATCACCTCGGGTGTGGCTGATTGTGTCATGTTACCGCTGAGGTAAGACGGCAGATCGCCTCATGGATATGGCATTCCCTTTGGTGCTTGCCAAAACTTACGATTCCGTGGTAGATCCTCCAATGGACACTAGGTAAGTTTCTAAGCAGACAGCAGGCCGTTGTTCGTCGACCTGACGCCCAGACGTCCGTGTTAAGTGTCACAGCCTACACGTGGCCGTTCTCACACTCCTAGCGTGTGCGCGCATGGTGGCGGCCTGACGCTGACTCGTCTGCCGCAGATGGTGACGAGCAGGGGAGCGACGGCGAGTCGTCAGCGCCGGTGGTGGATGTGGCGGCGGTAAGGACGGTCCCGGCCCGGTGGCGGTTAGGACGGCCCCGGCGCCGGTGGTGCCAGTGTGGTGCGCCAGGGCGGCGTTTAGGACGGCCCCGGTGCCGATGGTGCCAGTCTGGTGCGCCTGGGCAGCGGTTAGGACAGCCCCGGCGCCGGTGGTACGGGTCTGGTGCGCCTGGGCAGCGGTTAGGACGGCCCCGGCGCCGGTGGTGCGGGTCTGGTGCGCCAGGGTGACCTGAGAGTGCGAGCTGTCTGGGGCGCGGGGACCCGGTGCCGGCCGGCGACGCTACAGCGCCGTCGGCCGTACTGAGCGATGTCTGTCGTTGGCGGGATATTGCTGGCGCCACAAAGTGTAGTTCCGTGGTGAATGCATGCAAACTGCGGGTTTTGCTGGCAAACAGGTATTGCCGACTGTAGAGCATGCATTTAGGTTGGCGTGCATGGCTTTGTGACCAGACTGCAAATCCACGCCTAAGTTTTTGGCCCCTGGGCTTGATGTTAGGGCTCAAGATTTTGGCCCCTGGCCAATTGGCTGATGAGGTAGGGGTCTCCAACCTCCACAACTGAAGATGCAACAATGCCCATTGCTTCCCCTTCTTTTCCTGAAGTCTTGCAGTCACCCCGATTCTTTTGGCGCAGGTACGCTTCCTATCTCTGTTCCTTTAAACATGTGTCGTCTGTTGCAATGTCGGGTTTCACTATATAACCCCGCGTTCATTGACATCTTCGTCCTATACGATATTAACCTGGCGTCCTTTTTCACGCGACCGTTTGCGCACGGTCCCTTGTGGTACGATCTGTATCATATAATATTCTGCCCCGTGTGGTTTTTGTCACACGATGCTTTGTTTACAATGTTTCCCGTACATTCACATACGGTCTTTTATCCTGTAATCCGCCCCGTCTTCTCGTTCCGTCTCACCTTTGTCCCCCCCCCCCCCCCCCTCCGGATGTGGTCGACGTAGTCCGCCTGACCAGCTGCGCCATCTGTTCCAGCTGCAGAACTCTCTGCGGACGCGTCTGCGGAGTCACCTGCGCTCAGGCAGCGCGCCGCCTCCGCCGCCTCCGCTCCGTCTGATGGCCAAGCGGCCCGCCTCGCCGCCCGCTACCGACTCGTCGTCGCCGCCGCCGCCTCCCAAGATGTCCATCAGCATGGTGCCGACGCCGCGCCCAGGCCTCAAGACGCTGCTGCCGAAGCCAACGCCGCCGGCGCCGGCGCCCACTCCGGTGGTGACGCAGGCGGCCTCGGCGGCCGGTGGCCAGCTGCCGCTGCTGCTGCAGAGCGTCGACGGCAAACTCTACATGCTGCCAACGGGCTCCCAGGCGGCGGCGGCGGCCGGTGCGGCGCCGCCCGGCGCGCCCGTCACGCTGCTCCGACTGCCGGACGGCCGGCTGGTGGTGTCCGGCAATAACCCGGGGCAGGGACGGCCGCCGCCGCCGCCGCCGCCGCCGCCGCCGCCGCCGCCACTGCCGCTGCCGGCGCCCATCCGACCGCGCGTCGGCCGTGGCGGCTCCGGCCCCGGCTCTGCTCCAAGCACCGGAGCCAGCCCCGGCTCCGGCCCTGGCTGTGGCTCTGGCTCTGGCTCTGGCGCTGGCTCCGGCTCTGGCTCTGGCTCTGTGTCTGGCTCCGGCCCTGGCTCTGGCTCTGGCGCCGGCTCTGGCGCCGGTTCCCCCACGCTCAAGAACCTTCTGTTGGGCGGACAGCCGGCATCGGCGGTGGCGGCCGCGGCCAGCCGCGGCGTCACGGTACGCCCCGACAGCCAGCTGTTCGCGCCGCGCGCCCCCGGCGGTCCGATCCTTGAGTCGATCTTGCAGAAGCGACCGGGCGGCGAACCGTGCCCGCTTTGCTCGCTCATCTTCGGCAGCCGGACTGAGGTCGACCTGCACCTGCGCAGCCACTCGATGGTCTGTGTCGGTTGCGACCACCTGTTCGCGTCGCGCGTCGGCCTCTTCGAGCACCGACAGGCGTGCGTGCCGTCGCGCACGTGTGCCGGCGTTGCGGCGCCGCTGCCGTCTCCGCCGGCCGAGTCGTCGCGCGCCTCACTCCTCTGCGGCGTCTGCACGGCGCCCGCCAGCGACGTGATGGCGCTCAACGAGCACGCGGCGCGCCTGCACAGTTTGCTGTACCGCTGCCCTAAGTGCGACTGCCGCACGGCAGAGCTGCGCCAGTACGAGAGCCACGTGCGCGTCGAACACGCGCTCGACACGCCGCACCCGTGCAACTTGTGCCAGACGAGCTTCCTGAAGCGCGAGCAGCTGTTGGCGCATGCGCACCAGCGGCACGCGCCGCCTACTGAGCTGCGGCCGCACGCCAAAGACCGGACGATCGACGGCGTGCGCCTGTCGCTGCCGCCGGGCGAGCCAAAGCCCGGACCGCCGCCGCCGCCGCCGCCGTCTGACGAGCCGGCCGCCCCGCCGCGCGACGAGGACGAGCTGGCCAGCGGCATGATCATTGTGAAGGAGGAGGAGGACGTGTTGTTGTGAGGCGTCGGCCGTCGCGACAGCCAGCTTTAAGTGGGATGATATTTATTGTCGCGACCGGATGGACGCCCCCCCCCCCCCCCCCGCCAGGCTGTGTCGCCCCGGGAGGTGTAGTTGTTGACGTGCGCTGTGTTTTTATCAGCTTGGTTACGCTGAGTTCCCCGTGGACCTGTGCGCGCGTCACACATGTAAGTGGATCTGTTTGGATCCGGGCGTGCGTATGTGTCGCCACGTCCGAGGGTTTGCCGGCTTCTAAAGCACGCGGACCACATGCGAAAGTGCGAACGCCTTTGCTACGGCCTTGTACCCCCCGCTCAACAACGTTCAACACCCGAGTACAAAGAGGCGGGGGGCACAGCTTATTGCCGCATCCGCGCCGTCCTTTTAAAATATTCAGCTTACCTCTCGTGCTGTCATCATAGGCCACATGGGCTGGTCAAAAGTATGTTCGAATCAAGTGTTGGATTTGCTATGCCGCCTCGTTTTACAAAAGAGGCAACTGCTAGGCTGGTCCAGAATGTTCGTTACATGCATTTGACATCGAACTTGCCGAGGCGAAAAGCTCCCGACAGCCGCAAGCCCACAAGTCTCATGTCGTTTGCATGCCGCCGGTCCGTGTGAGCTCCGGAGTTGTGCTGACTTGTGTTTCAGGTACCGCGCTTGTTAATGTTTTCCGGATCTCACGTTTTATGCTGTTTTACGGTGTCGGTTTTTGCACGGGATGCCATAACTGACGAGGAGGGGAATACAGTGGTATTCGTCGGCAAGATAGTTTGGCTGAAGTGTCTTCGACCGAGATAGACTATGTGAGGAGGTGATTGCCGAACCCGTCGTAACCAAATCGGCTATCGGAACCCTTGACTTCCTCAAGAGCCAGTTTAGGAAGGATTACTCTGTTTGTGGTGTATTTTTAACTTAACATTCAATACGTCACATGCTTGCTCATTATGCGGTTTTTATAAGTTGCCCAGTAAACCTGGGGAAGAAATCTGCAACGGAAGCAATTGGGCGCACACTGGTGCCACAGCGACTTAAAACTATTTTAGAAATGGGTGATAGCACGTTTTAACAATACAATGTGCTTTGCAGTCACATGCACACTACCCAGTGACCTGCGCGGTACGGGCCTATTGGATGTAGTGTTGCTGCCTACCCGATCACGCCACTGCGTCACTATCTGCAGATCAGCGCGATGGAACGGAACCACACACTAGGCTCTTAATGAGCCATCAGCAACGCATGCGTGCATACCCGATCGCGTTATCTGTTTTTTTCGACTCCCGCAGCCCAGCAGAGTCCAGCGGCTATATGCGACAAGTACACTTCGAGTCACCAGCAGCAGATCCGTCGGAGCCGGACGACCACGCACTGCGCGGCTCACCAGTCCGCTACAGGCCGCCTGGTCCAATCGATCGGAGCGAGGCAGGTCAAGCAGCGTTCTCGAGCGGCGCGGCGGGAGCGGGCGGCGACAGCCTCTGTACTCCGCCCGGCCCGCGGGGGCCGCGCCGGCGCTGAGCCTGCTCCGCCCCCGCCCCCGCCCCTGCCTGCATGGCACTGCCTCTCTGCCGCGCTCCGCTGATGGCCGCGCACGTCGGTCTGCCATCACGGCGAGTCGGGTGGGCCGCCAATCCGAGCCAGCCACTCGGTCCGGAGCGGCCCGCTCGAGAGCCGCACCCCGGCATCGGGCCCGACGCTCAGAACTCGTACCTGCCGACGTCCACCTCGACGACGGCCACGTGCTCGGTGTGCAGCTGGCCCCGCCGGGACACGGTCATGGTGAGGGTGACACGCAGCGTCAGAGGCCCGGTCACGGGCCGAACCAGCAGCAGCGTACCTGTGCAGCGGCGCGTCCGGACACTGTCAGCACCGCGCGCGCCGAACGGCTCCCACCGCCGCCTGCAGCAGCGTGGGGCGGGAATGGCACAGCTCATTCGGTAACCATTCGTAGATCGCGTTCATCGCTCCTAGCGACGTCAGGCTGTGACACCAGCCCTTGGCCGAGTGCCTGCCGACATCCGAAACCAATTTCTCCACAACTGCGATCTTGTCTCTCAAAACTCCTTGCGCATCCATCCAGCGATCCTCCCCATGCCCCTGCTGTTACGTGATTAATTTAGTGCTTGTTTGTCACGTATTCATGGCAGTGTTTCAAGAACTAGTTATGTCTCACCGTCGCCAAATGTGTCTATTCTGTTCCCGCACGTTTACCGTCTGTTCGATATGACGTTCTCCTCCCTTATGTTCAGTTCTGAATATAGACAGACGTGACCTGCGCCCGGTATTGATATGATGGTGATTTAAGAAGGGAACGAAACACCTGCTAGCCACACACCCGGGCCCAACGCGGCCAGGCCGTTCGTTACGAGCACACCGCAACAGCTTCCGTCATACGTTCCCGCCCCCTCCCCCACTCCGCTGACCTGTGCGCGGCCCCATCAGGTTCTCCTGCAGCTGCAGATAGTTCTCCTCGTTGCCACTGGCGAGGTGGAAGCGCGTGGTGAAGAGGCCGCCGTGGCTGCCGAGCGCGCCGAGCGTGGTCAGCGGCCGCGGCCTCAGCACCACCGGCTGGCTGGCCAGCGCCACGAACTGGTAACTATGCGTCAGCGTGCGGCTGCGCTGGCAGGCGGCATCACCGGGCCGACACACCTTGCGGCACACGTACGAGCCGTCCTCCTCCACCTGCCGGCTGACGGCGGACGGGCCGGGCCACGCCGGGTCACCGACGGTCACCAAGCTTCACACAGGATCGCAGACAGTTCAAGAGGGTCACGGAGGTGCAAATGACCAATGTGGTTGACGCACCGCAAAATCACACGGTCACGAAGAATTGCAGAGTTACAGAGGGCCACGGAAGGTCACAGAGCCAGGAAGTGTTACAGCGGGCTACAGAGGGTCTCACACAGTCACGAAGGATTGCAGGGGATCATGGCGGGTCATAGAGGGTTACAGAGGGCTACGGGGGGGTCATAAATGGTCACAGGAGGTTACGGAGGATTATAAAGAGTCACGGAGGGTCGCAGCGGAGCTGAGGTCACGGAGGATCACGGCGTGGCTGGCGAGCCCTGACAGAGCTGGGGTCAGGGGTCGGGAGAGTCACAACAGATCCAAGTGAGACTGTGGGAGGGTCATGGTGGAGCTGGAGTCGGGGGGGGGGGGGGGTCACGGCGAGTCACAACAGGACTAGGGACAAGGGTCGCGACGGAGTGGTGAGGAGAGTCACGACGGTTTGCCGTTGGACGGGGGCCATGTGGGGTCACGACGGGCTGGAGAGGGGCACGACGGGGGGAGGGGGAGGCTGGCAGGGACACGGAGATGGAGGGTGGGGGTAACGACACGCCCGAGTCGGCCGGTTCAACGCCGAGTAATAATATCGCGTAATGCACAGCCAACTCTGGGTAAAACTGTCAAAGAAAGAACTGAGAACAATATAACCTCTCGCATCACAGTCACTGCCCATCTCGGTCCACGGTCCATCTCGGTCCACGGTCCATATCGGTCCCCGGTCCATCTCGGTCCACGGTCCATCTCGGTCCACGGTCCATCTCGGTCCACGGTCAGAAGGTAGAAGTATCATACAGCGCGCGTGATGGAAAGACTATGCAAGCTATTGTTGAACACGCACCAGAGCACGACTGCTTGAACTCACCTGGTATCCGTGATTATGCAGCAGGCGTGCCGAAACACGGCGAACCGGACTCAAAACAGCCTAGGACGATGTCGCAGTGGACCCGCGGGCAGCCTCCCTCCCTAAGTATGCGCATATTACTTTGTAAAAGGTGATGGTTAGGCACATGACAGCCAGCCTCCCCCCCCCCCCCCCATCCTCACCCTGGATAGCTTGGTCATGTGCATGGCCGAACGAGCAACGGTGTTGTCGCTTTGTCCAACTCCAATATAAAGATAATCGCCCCCAAATGTGAAGTTTTTCAAAGCTTGTGGTGGAACATTGATGCGCTTGAGGCCCGAGCACCGCATCTGTCTTGGACTAAATCGTTCTAATCATCCAGTAGCGTACATAGAACTGCGAATCATTTCATCATAAAGCCTACATAATTTCACGCCGCCGGGGTAAACCGTCAGGACTCCACTGACGACATACCACTCTAATTAGCCAGTACCTGTGGTGGCCCACTCATTTACTAATCATCTGCTCCAATAAAGTGAAAAGCTCCTCGGATAAATCGGATCGACACCAAAGGATTTACATTCAGGCCCAGTGGGCCTTGGTCGCGTCAAAACATCCCCAACGATATGTCATGGCAGCGAGCATGTATTACGCTTTCGAGCACAGTCGAACTGGGCCTATATCGCCCACGCTAATTGCAATGGCACTTCAGAGCTTCCTACGCAGAAGCCTCACCAGCGGACGGGCTAGCTAAATACCCTCAGACACACACGGCCGTGCGCCTCCCCAGCGGTCGGCCGGGTGGGCCGGACACCACCCCGCGCCGCCCGCTCTCGCACCACGGCCGCGCTAGAACTCGTACTGCGTGACAAACACAAACAGCTTGGCGACGGCTTTGCCGCTGAAGCGCGCCCCCTGGTACAGGTTCATGGTGAGCTCGAGCTCGACCTCCTGCGGGCCTTCGATTGAGCGCACCAGCGACACCACCGCCTGGTTACTCTGCAGCCGGCGCAGCTGAAAGTATGAGTCGCTGGCGCGCGCCACGCCCACGGGCGCGCGCGCCTCCTTCAAGCGCAGCTGGAAGCGCACGGTGGTCTGCGACCAGAGCGGGCCGCGCATGGTGAAGAGGTCGATGCGACCGCTGGGCGGCACGGGCAGCTTGGAGACGAACGTCAGGAAGTTGTAGGAGAAGCTGAGCGGCCGCTGCTGACAGGCGGCGTCCCCATCCCGGCAGAACAGCGACTGGCGCTTGCAGCGGCTGCGGCACACCGCGCACAGAGTCAGTCGGGCGCGGTGGCGGCCCACGCTCCCCGCCACCCCCCTCCCTGAAGAGGCCGAGCCTGCGCGCGGTCTGCCGCGGCGCCGCTGCCGGTGCCAGCGCCGCCCGCCTGCGCCCACTCACTTGCGATGAGCGTCGTCGCGCTCGTAGTTGGGTGGACAGTCGATCCGGTTGCAGCGGAAGCCGCCACGCGTGTTGAGGCACACCTCGTCGGCGCGGCACACGCTGCCGCTCGAGCACTCGTTGATGTCTGCGGCGGCGGAGGGGAGGGACTCAGCGGAGCGGCACGGCGAGGGAGCGCCATGCCATTGACTGAACTGTGGTGTTCAGCCATGACCACAGCGGCACCCGCGGAAACTCAGTGCAGCGCGGAGGTACCGTTAGGCAGAGCGGGCCCGACAAGCTGTGAGCATACTACACACGCCCCACGTCTCAGCACGAATGTTGCGGGCGCCGGTCCGGACGGCGTGGGTCCAGCCCGGATCTGAAGCCTGCCGCACTCGTGCCGCCCGTCAGCGTCGACACACACAGGTGAGGCGCGGCGCCCACTCACCCTGACACTGCCGCGACTCCGGCCCGAGCACATAGCCTTGCGGACACTCGCAGCGGAAGCTGCCGGGTTCGTTGACGCAAAGACCGATGCAGAGGCTACCGTAGCTGAGCTGTCGCGCCTCCTCGCACTCGTCCACGTCCACACAGTTCCGCTTGTCCGTGTGCAGCCGGTAGCCATCGTTGCAGGCGCACTTGTACGAGCCCCATGTGTTGTGGCACTTTTGGTGGCAAATACCCGGCCGCTCCTCGCACTCGTCCATGTCTGCGGCAGTGGCGCATCACGGCTGCTGGGTCAGCGCTGCCGGCACTCGGCTGAATGCCCGCCGGCGGTGATGGCTACAGCAGCGGAGGGCACAGGCACTGGCCGCGTGAATGCTACCGACCCTGGTCGCTTCCAAAGACGGCTGCATCCACTACTAGACGTCTTGGTCAGTTTTACCGCGCTGCGAGGAACCCGTGAAAAAAGCACATGAGACGTGCTGTGCTATTTTAGACTCCATACTCTCTTATTCTCTCGTATGCTCTAATCTTGGGTCAAGCCCCCCCCCCCCCCCGCTCTCCCATTCCGTCCCCTGTGGCACCTCGTATTGCATTTTATGAAAAGTGGTGCCATTGCAGGGGTGCTGCGGAGTACACCTTTAATTCTCAAATGGGGAGCTCTTCCACGTGCATGTGCCTTCGATGCTGGGTTGGACCGCGCTAGCACGAGCCCATACCGCCCCGTCGTTAAGCACCACGCGTAACTTACCAACGCATATGCGGGGATTCGGTCCCTGCTTGTAGCCCTCCGAGCAGCGGCAGAGGTACGATCCGGGCGTGTTCACACACTGGCTGCTGCCTCCACACACCTGTAATGTCCAGCACGCCACTGCACTGGCTGAGTGTTTGGGTGCAGCCAACATGTGGGCCACGCCCAGCCAAAGGGTGGACGTGAAACTACCTAAAATGAGTATAAGAAGACGCACTGGTGAATACGACACAACGCCAAGGAAAAGACACAACTGAATTGCAAGGGAAAGGTAGAACACCCCGGGACTGGTGCAAGATAATTTGACCCCACAATAAGAACACAAACACTAGCGGAGGGGATGTCGCGCTAGGAGCCGCTCTCAGAGGCGAACCAGATTCCGCCGGACATGGCTGACAACTTTCAAATCGTGGGCGCGTGCCAACCTTGTCACCGTAGGTGAGACACTCGTTGACGTCCTCGCACTGGTTGAAGCGGTTGATGATGTAGCCCGTCTGGCATGAGCACTCGTACCCGCCTGGCTTGTTGGTGCAGGTCTGGTCAGCCGTGCACGTGCTGCGAGCCTCGCTGCACTCGTCGATGTCTGCCGAGCGGGCGGGCAGGCGTCCCACGGACGTCAGACCCGGCAGACGAAGGACACAGGCAGACCGCCGGATGGAGGACACAGGCAGACCGGGGAACGGGGGACACGGGCAGATCGGGGGACGGAGGACACGGACAGACCGGGGGACGGAGGTCACGGGCAGATCGGGGCACGGAGAACACGGGCAGACCGGGAGACGAGTTGTGCGGCCAAGTGGGTCCAGAGTAGACGGCGCAGCGGGTGTGGAGCCGAGGCTCTGTGCTAGCGGGGACGTCAGCATGGCAACACCGTACCCTTCACGGATAGCATTGAAGAATAAAGCAAAACAAACAGATAGACAAATGGGCTACACACGGCAGACGGACTTGCAGCCGAAACAGTCAACAACATCCCTGCAGTGCACATAACAATGACCGATAGAGTGTACCAGCCTCCTGACCACTGACCGACACAGATTATACCAGCCTCCTGACCACTGACCAACACAGATTACACCAGCTTCCTGACCACTGGCCGATACAGAGTACACCAACCTCCTGACCACTGACCGATACAGAGTACACCAACCTCCTGACCGCTGACCGCTACAGAGTGTACCAGCCTCCTGACCACTGACCAACTCAGATTACACCAGCCTCCTGACCACTGGCCAACTCAGATTACACCAGCCTCCTGACCACTGACCAACACAGATAACATCAGCTTCCTGACCACTGACCAACGCAGACCGTGCCGTCCTCCGCCGGCTGGTAGCCGGTGCGGCACTGGAGCAGTGAGACACACGTGTAGCTGCCGGGCGTGTTGGTGCAGCGCGAGTTGGCCCCGCAAGGCTCGCCCTCGCACTCGTCGATGTCTGCCGGCGCAGGAGACGGCCGCCGTGGCCAGGAGTCACACAGAGCGGCGCAGCGGCCGTCAGCTGGGTCACGGCTCTGGTGACTACGACTGGGGCATGCAAGGGCAGGTGGCACACCGGGCGAGAGATCGCAAATACGGCGGGCGGTGCAAATACGGCGGGCGGTGCTTGCTTGGGTGGATTCTCACAGTGAGTGATGGTGACAGCGGCACCAACAGGTCGTTGGAGCAGCACGCGGCGGCAGCTTGCACCTGATCGTTACCCAGTGATGAGGTTACGCAATGAAGCCACGACTGTAGAATGAGTAGCCTGGTTCAGCTGTGCGAAATCGCCCGCCACTGCGAGCTGTTACTCTCTCGCGACTGCATTACCCGACATGACACTCACCGCCGTCAAAGGGGACATTTTGCATTGGACTGCGGCTCGGCTGATACGATCTGGGGGGGGGGGGGGAGATGCAGGCGAAGCATCGGGAAGAAGACAGCGAAGATGCAGTCATTGCATCGGTACTGCATTTCTGATCTGGCCACCACCCATCTGAGCAGTGGGCTGAACACACTGCGGTGAGACTGAGGTACAGAGCAACAGGCTGACAAGCCAACTACGCATTGGCAAAGCGACAACATACTTTGCCTACTTTATCTCATGTTTGACTGAGCGTATGCTTTGTGTTGTTCGCGAAGGAGCAACCTTCCGGCCCACTCGAGGTTCAAAGATCAAGTGCTATGGTGCCGCCTTTCGATGTGCATACGCAATCATTAACAAATAAATAAATGGCAATCAATACATCAAGAGGGTGTAGAACAACCAAGAAAATCACCGCACCACCAAACCGCATACCGCCACCAATCAAAACCTTGAAGTCAGACTTCTCCTCCAACCCAATCTCCAGTGCGTTTGCAAGCTTGCAGCGCGGTAAGTAGCCAGTGGCATGAGTTGAGCCGCGGCGGCCGGTGTCGGCCTCTCACCGCGACACCGTCCGGCCCGGTCGGGCCGGTACCCGGGCCGACAGTCGACCGTCACGCAGCGGCCGTCCGCCGTCAGCTTCTCGCCGTAGTTGCAGCGCTTCCTGACGCAGCGGAACGAACCCTCGATGTTGTTGCACACCCATTTGGCGCCGAGGCTGGCGCAGTTGTCGCGCCCCAGCTCGCACTCGTCGTCATCTGCGGCGCGCGCGCGACGACGTCACGGCTAGGGCGGTGACCGTGGAAGTCCTCCACATGTTTGAGAAGTGGGAGAGGGGAGTCATTTTGGGCTAGTTCTTTTTAGTCAACGTTCATACGACCAATGTAAGATCTTCAGAAAACTCGCAGACTCAGCCCCTTCACCCATCCAGTTTCCGCTGCTTCCCCCCCCCCCCCTTCCCCGCTCAGTTAGGTCCAGAACGCCTTGGCGCCAGGTTTATCTAGGCCTTGGGCCAGCTCTAGCTCTTGGGCCAGGCTAGGCCAGCTCTAGTGCCGGTAAGTCACAATTCTGAGCAATTCTGGAAGGTGAGCAAATACCACGGCAACATGTGACCAAGTGTTCAGTTTAAAGTGCTTGCCTTTGTTAGCAAAACGTTCCCATTTACCCACTCATCCACGCACCGAGCTCTCTCATTTACCCATTCGAGTGGCTGAAGCGTCAGTAATCCATGCGATGAATACAAGCACCCACACGCAAAAAAAAAAAAACACTTGAAGTGACTGCCCGCGGTAGGGGGCTGGTAGGACCCACCCTCGCAGATGCCCAGCTGCGAGTTGAGCGTATAGCCGGTGCCGCAGCCGGAGGTGCGGATACAGGAGAACGAGCCGATGGTGTTGTCGCAGCGCTGCTGGTCCACACAGCTGTGGATGTCCAGCTGACATTCATTCACGTCTGCCCGACAGACGAGGCGGGTTATAAACCATTGTTCTGAGGGACATCGTGCGCTAATTCGGGGCCGCCGCAAGGAATTTTTCACGAAGCGTCATTTGCGGTCATTATCCGGCCTTTGCATTGCTTCCCATCTTCTTTCAAAGCCTCTTAAAGGGCACCACCATGCCGCCACGCACCTGCCGATAAAGCCACGGGCATCTGTGCACAGATATGTGGCCGCTGAAATCGGAGCATGTCAAGCCTCACTCCCGAGAGAGATTCCAGCTGTGCTCACTTGCATGGCGGTGAGTCTGGGTGCCGCCAGGAGGGCTCACTGACGCAGCCTGGGTGCCGCCGGGAGGACTCACCGACGCAGCCTGGGTGCCGCCGGGAGGACTCACCGACGCAGCCTGGGTGCCGCGGGGAGGACTCACCGACGCAGCGCTTCGTCTCCTTGTCACTCTTGAAGCCGAGATCGCACTGGCAGCTGAAGCTGCCGCGGGTGTTGACGCAGGCGCCCTGCGGCCCGCAGACGCCCGGCTGCTCGCGGCACTCGTCCACGTCTGCGCGCGCCGGGCACCACCCGTCAGCGCTGCGTTGGACTCCCCGATGCCCATTCCGGACAGGGGACTTCTGAGCTGGCTGGTGCGAGACACGCACACAATTGGAATGCAGCAGACGGATAGGTTTATGGTGAAGGAAAATTTCCCTGCCTTGAGGAGGGGGCGGAGATCAGATGGTCGCGATCCGTTCCTTTTTACACCCAGCAATGTTACATATGCGCCTGATGTTGAATCGTCCTTAGCGTTTGAGTTAAAACTGCTAACAATTTCAATGACGGGTTGATTCCCGAGCCCATGGGGATGTTCAGTTCCCAACACGCGACAATTACACACAATCAATACCATCAAGACCCCAATCCGCTGAAGTCCAGACGCTAGTCAAGTCAACACTCCGCGCTCAAAACGCCTGCCATCATAATCGATCAGAAGAAACCACCTTCGACTCAGAGACCGAAGACACGAGGTCGACACAGCGACAGCCGTCGCTCGCCAGCGGACAGTCCTCGTACCCAGGCAGCGGCCGAAGGTCGTGGACAAGCGGAAGCCATCGTCGCAGTCGGTGGAGCCGCGCGGCGGCTCCGGTGGCGCACGCGCTTCCCGGCAGCGATAGCCGCCCTCCTCATTGACGCATCGCTCGGTGGCACGGTTGCACAGGTGTGTGCCCTCGGCGCACTCGTCGATGTCGCGGCAGCGGCCGGCCAGGAACTTGAAGCCGGCCGGACAGCGGTCGTCGAGCCGGTGGGGGCGCCGGCCCGGCTGGGTGCGGTTGTAGGAGCTGCGACTGCAGGTGAAGCTGCCGCGGATGTTGACGCACTGTAGCAGTGGCGGGCACGAATCCAGCTGTTCGGCGCACTCGTCCACGTCTGCGGCGCACAGTGCACGTCACGTCAGGTGGGCACACGGCACGGCACGGCGCGGCACGGCATGGAATGGCACGCAGGACCATGGCACGTCACGGCGGGAAGGACTACAGCACCAAACACGTCACGCTGGATGAAGTGACGGCTGACAGGAGCCTGATGTCATGAAAGCGTGATGGCCTTCCAATGGCCACAGATGACTGGGGTTCGCGGGCTGTCTGAGCATAACTTGTCGGTTAATGACTGCTGAGTAGCCACAAATACATATATATATATATATATATATATATATATATATATATATATATATATATATATATATATTACAAGACCATGGTATAATTGCCTCTGGCATCTGTCATTTCTGTATGTACCCATGTAGAGCACTAACCCCAAAACTAACGCAGAGGTGCACTGCGTGGTGCAGAATGCTCTTCCTTTTTGACGTAACGAATAATAGACATCCAACACCAGCCATGGCTCAATTAAGCCAATTCTAGCCTTTTTGACGGTCATACGCAGCGCGTCTATCGCTTTACGTCGTTTATAGGTCACATCGACATAAGCCCACGGCGTCTGGACACTCTCCTACCGCCATGCGTACAGACTAGTGTATAAGCCATTAGCCAGCCATGTGCGCACTGATGTCGATGAGGTGGCCCCGAGCCTGCCTTGCCACGGGCCAGCATTGCTGCCCAGTCCGCCGCCAACCCATACTCCCGACACGGGCGGCCGGCCCGGCCTCTCGCCGAGACCCCGCGGAGTTCAGCCAACCTTCGCAGATGCCCGTGACGGGGTTCAGCTGGAAGCCAGTGGCGCACTGGATCGGGTCGATACGCTTGTTGCACTGGAAGTCGCCGATCGTGTTGACACAGTACTCGAGCGCCGTGTTGCAGGTGGCCGTGCCCTCCTTACACTCGTCGATGTCTGGTGGCGGCGGGTCAGCGTCACCGGACGGGCGTACACAGTCCCGCAGCCCTCCTTCCCCCGCGCACAGTCCCGCAGCCTACCGTCCCCCGGGCGCAGTCCCGCAGCCCTCTGTCCTCCGGGCACAGTCCCGCAGCCTACCGTCCCCCGGGCACAGTCCCGCAGCCTACCGTCCCCCGGGCACAGTCACGCAGCCCTCCGTCCCCCGGGCACAGTCACGCAGCCCTCCGTCCCCCGGGCACAGTCCCGCAGCCTACCGTCCCCCGGGCACAGTCCCGCAGCCCTCCTTCCCCCGGGCACAGTCCCGCAGTCCTCCGTCCCCCGGGCACAGTCCCGCAGCCCTCCGTCCCCCGGGCACAGTCACGCAGTCCTCCGTCCCCCGGGCACAGTCACGCAGCCTACCGTCCCCCGGGCACAGTCACGCAGCCCTCCGTCCCCCGGGCACAGTCACGCAGCCCTCCATTCCCCGGGCACAGTCACGCAGCCCTCCGTCCCCCGGGCACAGTCCCGCAGCCCTCCATCCCCCGGACACAGTCCCGCAGTCCTCCGTCCCCTGGACACAGTCCCGCAGCCCTCCGTCCCCTGGACACAGTCCCGCGGCAACCCGTCCCCTGGACACAGTCACGCAGCCCTCTGTCCTCCGGGCACAGTCACGCAGCCCTCTGTCCCCCGGGCACAGTCACGCAGCCCTCCGTCCCCCGGGCACAGTCACGCAGCCTACCGTCCCCCGGGCACAGTCCCGCAGCCCTCCTTCCCCCGGGCACAGTCCCGCAGTCCTCCGTCCCCCGGGCACAGTCCCGCAGCCCTCCGTCCCCCGGGCACAGTCACGCAGCCCTCCGTCCCCCGGGCACAGTCACGCAGCCTACCGTCCCCCGGGCACAGTCACGCAGCCCTCCGTCCCCCGGGCACAGTCACGCAGCCCTCCATTCCCCGGGCACAGTCACGCAGCCCTCCGTCCCCCGGGCACAGTCCCGCAGCCCTCCATCCCCCGGACACAGTCCCGCAGTCCTCCGTCCCCTGGACACAGTCCCGCAGTCCTCCGTCCCCTGGACACAGTCCCGCGGCAACCCGTCCCCTGGACACAGTCACGCAGCCCTCTGTCCTCCGGGCACAGTCACGCAGCCCTCCATCCCCCGGGCACAGTCACGCAGCCCTCCGTCCCCCGGGCACAGTCCCGCAGCCCTCCATCCCCCGGACACAGTCCCGCAGCCCTCCGTCCCCTGGACACAGTCCCGCGGCACCCCGTCCTTCGCAAAGTCCCTTTCCAGCGGACGCCACCTACCGACGCACTCCCGCAGCACGCTGCTGTAGCGGTAGCCGGAACGGCAGGCTGGCAGCCGCGCGATGCAAGTGAAGCTGCCCACGGTGTTGGTACACGTGTGCGTGCGCAGGTTGCAGCCGTGCGTGCCGGCCGCACACTCATCAACGTCTGCGCCGCACGCGAGCACGTGGTGTTAGTCGTCAGTCACAGACGCTCCCAACACCGGGGACGCGAGTGTGGAGAGGCTAAGAGGTCGCACCCCTGCTGATCGGCGGAAGGGTCTGAGGGATCGCAGCTTTGCTAACTGGAGGAGGGGGCTGAGGGATCGCACCTCTGCCGATCGGAGTGGAGAGGGATCACACCGCTGCTGATGGGATTCGGGAGGGATCACACCGCTGCTGATCGGAGTGGGGAAGGATCGCACCTCTGCTGATCTGAGTAGGGAAGGATTGCACCTCTGCTGATCGGAGCGGGGAGGGATCGCACCGCTGCTGATAAAGGGGGAGGAAGACGTTCCGACCATGACAAGAAACGATCTGCCTGGCCTGGAACGCTATGCACGTAAATATTGCCTTTATTAGGGTTGCCTTTGCAGAGGTACCCTCGTGCATTCGTGCAGGCTGCGTGCACGTAAATTGTTCGTGAAATTAAGAATGAGGACGGTGAGCATGTGTGCCAATTGCGAATCAGAAATCCGCGAATGCGTCTCGGTGGGAAAATGCAAACAGAAAGCCCCACCTTTCCTCGCTAAAAAGTCAGGATTATCTGGAGGCAGACCACAGCATAATGAAACCCATATAGCTGATAAATATACCTCCCACCGAACTCCCCCCGAAGTGCCAAAGAATAACACGAGTGGAACTAGCAAATCAAACCAAACACCTGACTGGAAATGGCCACTGCCGCCTGATCTTAACCGCAGTGCCGTGACGCCGGCTCACCCTCGCACTTCCGGCTGGCGTAGGAGTATTGGAGGCCGGCGTCGCAGGTGGTGTTGGCCACGCAGCTGAAGGAGCCCGGCCGGTTGCTGCACGTCTGGCCCAGCCGACAGTTGTCCGTACCCTCAGCACACTCGTCAATGTCGTCACAGCCTCCGCTAGCCGACGAAAACAGAACGGTCACCACACAGGCGCCGGGACAGAGTCGTTGGGGCTTGCTTCATTAAGACCCCAGCCAACCGCACGCAGGCTGCATGCGCACACCGCCAAAGTTGGATCGCCTCGCATGTTAAGCAGGCTGTCAGGTAACGCTAACAAGCACATGAATTATCGATAGCTAAGCATGGGACATGGTCCATCCGCTGTCCATCTCACAAGCCCATGTCTGCCCCCGGATCAGACCGCGCCAGACCACACACCCGGGTGTACCTGACAATGGGTTGGAACAGTTGGGCGCGACTGACGGGAAGCCGCATAGTTGGGTGCGTGCACCCGGCAGAGGGCCAGACAGTTGGCGGTAGCTGGCATGCGACCTTACAGGCAGGCGGATCTGACAGATGGTTGCGTGGTTGAGCATACTTGACAAGTGGCTAGCGCAGTTAAATGACCCACCTCGCTGTCCACAGCCGGATGTACCTGACAAAGTAATGGACAGTTGGACGTACCGGACAAACCCCCTCAGCCGCAGCACATGGCGGACGGTGACAGAGCTGGATTTATCTGACGAATAAACGTACCGTGACGTGTACCTGCCCACGGCTGGGAGATCATTTAAACCTCGTGAATGCTGTGCATGGATGTGGGTCTCTGGCGGACGGTCACACCAACGAGTGTACTTCACACTCTGATAGTTGGATTCATCTGACAGGCGGCCAGACCGCTATGTGTGCCTGACAGACGTCCGCCTGACAGTTGGATGCACCTGACGGTGGGTCGGCAGCCGGCCGGACAGTTGGATGTACCTGACAGTGGGTCGGCAGCAGGCCGGGCAGCTGGGTGTACCTGACAGTGGGTCGACAGCCGGCTGGGCAGCTAAGTGTACCTACAGTGGGTTGGCAGCCGGTCAGGCAGCTGGGTGTACTTTACAGTGGGTCGGCAGCTGGCCAGGCAGGTGGGTGTACCTGACTGTGGGTCTGAAGCCGGCCGGGCAGGTGGGTGTACCTGACTGTGGGTCTGAAGCCGGCCGGGCAGGTGGGTGTACCTGACTGTGGGTCTGAAGCCGGCCGGGCAGTTTGGCCGGCATGAGAAGCCCCCTTCAGTGTTGACGCAGGTGCTGGCCGCTGTGCAGTTGCTCAGGCCGTCGGCACACTCGTCGATATCTGCGGTGGGCGGTGAAAGGCGCGTCACCTCACGCCGCGCTGCGTGATATTACCTTGGTTGTATGTTGAACTCAAGATGCAACCAGGAAGATGCAGAAATCGGCCCAACCCGATATCGATCCCTTGACCTGAACGGGTTCCTTGAGATACCCCCTGGCACTCTGATTCCGAGCTAGTTCGAGGGCCCCTTTCTCGCAACAATGTCGTTCCGCCTTGATGCTCCGCTTATCACCGGTGTCGGAGTTCTCTGGCACGTTTTATCTGGCCCAAACCGTCTCAACCCCAAAAGATCGGCAGAAAGAGTTGGCAGAGTGGCCGACTAGCGAGTGTTGTGGCAGATGACGCGTGCGCTCTGTGATAGGCACCCCACCACACCGCGTTCAGCGCACCTGCGCACGCCCCGGCGGCCGGCGAGAAGCGATAGCCCGCCTGGCAGCGTATGATGCAGTTGAAGCCGCCCTCGGTGTTCTGGCAGATCTGACCCTCACTGCGCGAACAGTTGTCTAGCCGCTCGTCACACTCGTCAATGTCTGTAGGGAGAGCGCGGAGGCCGGGTGAGGCAGGGGGCGGGCGCCATCTCGGAGATGGCAGGTGAGGCAGGCGAGGCAGGGGCGGGCGCCATCTCGGAGACGGCTCACGCCACTTCACAGTGGCGGCAACAATATAGCAGAGGAAGGACAGCGTACGCCGTCAGTATGACAGGCTCGCTGGAGAATCAACCCCAAACTGAATTTGCCAAGTACTGCCGAAACAGCGGCGAAACGTGGGTGTTTAACAAAGAGCAGCAGACCACTTGCAGACAGGGTATTTTACACGGGACGTATGCTCCCAGCCGGACAGATGGTGAAGCCCTCCCCAGACAAGCGCGGTACGTGTCATATGATCACACGAGATACAGCGCAGCAGAGAATAGTGTTAGCTAGGTTGGGAGATTCACTCTTCATTCCAAGGAAAGAGGCAGCTTAAAACACTTGATCGATGATAAAACACGTGCTGTGTTTGACGCAGCTGAATGACCTCTGAAGTAAATCAGCGCTCCGCTGCCTACAAAATGAGAAAAGACGCACATCAACCGCTGATGAGCTGGCGTCCAGTAATAACAACAGGCAAAACAAGCAGAATACATGACACCGAAATTTATCCTCGCACAAACAACGCTCTGCCTAGCACAATGACAGAAAGAAACATTTCCACACAGTCGAGCCACATCGCCTTAACATTTCGCAACGAAACTGTACTCCATTCTGATTGCAGGCCCCTGCAAAGCCACCTGAGAACGATTTTGACGTCAACTCAAATGGCAAGATTAAAAGGGGGACAGAGGCATATACAAAGTGTGTTAGTAACGCCTCTGTCGCATCAGCTGACATCAACTTTGCAATCATAATATTAGTGTAGGCAGGCAATTAGAACCACCTGGCGATAGCAGCAAAAGCTGGCCTCACCCATATCAATGCACATGTTATGTGCTTGAAACAACCAAGAAGCTTGACATGTGCCTGCAGCCCAAGGAAGAGCGCAGGAGCCGATCCCACGATCCTATGACCGTAGGACTCAGTCGGATCCTGGACCCACCCTTATGATCCAGGCACATGTTTGAAAGCAGCGGCAGCAAAACTCGGTGAAGTCCGCATGAAAGAACACACGGGGCTACGCAGATGAGCCGATGCTAGAGTGTGTACCAAGCCCGTGAGAAACAGCTGGCAGCAAAGCCTCCTTCCCACGTTGGCGTGTCGAGCTGGTGCAATGTAATTAGCACGGCGTATTGGCACATTTCTTCAGTATGACAACAAATTTAAGCAATCAAATCGCCGAAAAACACCGCAGCTCTACTGGCTGCATGATGTCTGCAGGAAATCGAACAGAGCGTTTGCAGAGCTTTCAATCTAAGCAAATGGGACTCAGGCCGGAGCCTGCACGCATTCGTTCTTCGCATCAGATGCCGCTCTGGCGCTGCCACTCCAAGCACCCTTCCTTTGAAGCCACTGGCTCCCCAAGCAACAGCGCGCGCGCTCAGGCTCAAGCCATCCAGCGCCGACGGCATCGTCCTCTTGCTGGAGGCGGCGGCGGCGGCGGCGGCGGCGATGGCCGGCGAAGCGGCGTGGTTACCCTCGCAGTCGACTCCGTACAGCAGGCTGGGTCGGTAGCCGGGCGGACAGCGGGCCCGCAGGCGGCACCGGAACCCGCCCGGCACATTCTGACAGGTCTCGCTCGCCTGGCAGTTGTCGAGCCGCTCGGCACACTCGTCCACATCTGGCAACAGGGGTGAGTCGGACCCGGCCACGGGTGCCGGACACGGGTGCTGGACGTGTATGCCGGCTACGGGTGCCGGGCACGGGTGCCGGACATGGGTGCCGGACATAGGTGCCGACCACCAGGGCCAGGGACGGGAATCGAGAACACCGGACGGGGACATCGGACAGGGACTCGGGACAGGGACACCGGACAGAAGCACCGGACTAACACGGCCGGCCGAGCAGGCAGCGCACCACGGCGTTGCCCTTGCTTCTGCCGCATCCGAGTCGTTCGACTAGTGAGATGCGTTTGAGCTGGACAATCAGCGCCTGTGAACTGTGCGGACAAACGTGCGCATTCGGATCTCCTTGTTTAGAGTCGATTTGCTTGAGCAGTTCGGGAGATATTTATGTGATCCATTACGCCACAAGGTCCAGTGCTACTGCGGTGACGGTGGGGAGCGCATAGTGTGCTTAGTCTATTAAAACTTCGGATAGTGTTCCCAGCACCAGCAGAGTATTAACACTGTTGCTCTTGTGCGTCAAACGTGTCAACAGTAGGGATGGCGCGGCCGTTAATCCGTGTGTAAAGTGGTGCCAACAATGGCTGGCGCGCTCGCCAACTCACCGACGCAGGAGCGCGAGGCCACGCTGTAGCTGAAGCCGCTCTCACACTTGACATCGCACTCATAGCCACCGACGGTGTTACGGCAAACCTCCGAGTCCGGGCTGCAGCCGTCGATCTGCTCGCCACACTCGTCCACATCTGTCAGAAACAGCTCTCGTCACAAAACAGGTTTCGTCACACTTGTCTACATCTCTCAGATACAGGTCTCATCACACTCGTCCAGATCTCCAGATCTGTCAGAAGCAGGTCTCGTCACACTCATCCACGCCTGGCAGGAGCAGGTCTCGTCACACTCGTCCACGTCTGCCAGACATAAGTCTCCTCACACTCATTCATCTCTGCTAGACACAGGTCTCATCCTCCGCTCCCTGACCAGGCGTTTCAAAACGAGTTTCTTTCCACCCGTCTACATCTACCGGAAGGGAGTGGACGGCGGGTGCCCCGTGAGGCTGCAGCTGCCGGCCGGCGAGCGGGGATGCCGAGGGAGATAGTAGCGCACATGAGTTGCACGATTCAATCAGGCAGACCGCACTGCCTGCCATGCGGCCTGAGGTTCAGGCGTGTCTGTCAAACTATCACGCCACGGTGCCCGGCTGGGAGCCCGCGAAGCTCGGCACTCCCGGACAATGCACAGGGCTTCACAAATGAACCCACAGATGGTGCAGGCACGGAAGCACACCGTCAGACAATCACCAGGGAGCTGCGCTGGGAGCTGCAAACACCCGGCTCCAAGATCGATGAAATCCCTATGTCTGGGTGCGAAACAAAAAAAAAGTTTCTACGGGAACGGCATGTGTAGGGAATAACCAACTGACTCGAATTCGGGAAGAAGTCAGACGGCCGCGTTGACTACACGCTCCGGCTGAGCCGTGTCAGCCGGTCAGAGTAGTCACCTAGGCAGGTGGTGGTCGTCTGGTCGTACTTGTAGCCGGCTGGACAGTCCTGTGGTCCACGGCGCGTCTGGCACGTGAAGCTGCCCTGCGTGTTGACGCAGAACTCGGACGTGGGGTCGCAGGTGGACGTCCCCTCCAGGCACTCGTCGATGTCTGGGAGAGGTCGGCGACGCTCAGGGCGGGCGGCACTCGCGGCGGAACGGGCGGTATTCGGGGAAGACAGGCGGCACAAGGCGCTGGACAACCGGCACTCATGGCAAGACAGTTGGCGGCGAGGCTGGACAGCCGGCACTCATGGCAAGACAATCGGCGGTGAGGCTGGACAGCCGGCACTCATGGCAAGACAATCGGCGGCGAAGCTGGACAACCGACACTCCCACAGACGCTCCGTGCGAGATGGCAGGTATTGTACAGGTATTACAAGACTGCTGATATGTGGATAGTGCTTAGCCACGAGCAGCGTTTATTTCAACACTGGCAGGTTGTCACCCTTAGACATTACTAGCGATTACAAAGACATTGCATGGACACATGGGCCTGGCCACATTGACGACTGACTTTTGCTAGGCTGTCGTTTTGGTAAGTGTGTTCAAGTAATAAAAAACCGATACAAAGGTCGGCAGGGAGAACTGAGTTTCACTCAATGTAAAGAAAATCATGCAAATCAGATGCTGCATAGATAAATAACCGGCCAACGAACCAATTAGCATCACGCCAGTGACAACAGGCATGCCCACGGACAGGCACCAGCGTTACAAAGTCGACAGAGAGTCATCCGGTCACAACGAGTTTGATCACCCAGTTAGCAGGCTGGACTCACTGACACGAATTCACAGGCCAGACCTGCGGGCCCGGAGAGTGCCCAGAAGCGCGACACCCACCGACACAGGTCTGCAGGTTGGGATTGAAGACGAAGCCGGTCGGGCAGGGGCTGATCTGCGCAATGCACTGGAAGCTGCCGACGGAGTTCTGGCAGGCCTTGTCGCCGCACGAGCTCGGGTCGGCGCACTCGTCCACGTCTGCCGACCGTCCCAACACGCTCTCAGCACAGCGGGTGGCTTGCATGCCAGCAGAGGTCGCCAAACACTCCGCTTCGGAGCTGGACAGGTCACCGACAACACGCAGCTGAGGTGTCGACAGAGATCGCTTACACCGAACTCACCAACACTAACCGGCGTGAGGTGCCAGCGGACTAGCCGGCGTGAGGTGCCAGCGGACTAGCCGGCGTGGGGTGCCAGCGGACTAGCCGGCGTGGGGTGCCAGCGGACTAGCCGGCGTGGGGCGCCAACGAACTATCCGGCATGGGGTGCCAGAGGACCTGTCGGCGTGCGGTGCCAGCGGACTAGCCGGCGTGGGGTGCCAGCGGACTAGCCGGCGTGAGGTGCCAGCGGACTAGCCGGCGTGAGGTGCCAGCGGACTAGCCGGCGTGGGGTGCCAGCGGACTAGCCGGCGTGGGGTGCCAGCGGACTAGCCGGCGTGGGGCGCCAACGAACTATCCGGCATGGGGTGCCAGAGGACCTGTCGGCGTGCGGTGCCAGCGGACTAGCCGGCGTGAGATGCCAGCGGACCTGTCGGTGTGCGGTGCCAGCGGACCTGCCGGCGTGCGGTGCCAGCGGAGGGCGGTGGCTTAAATGGTGCAAATAGCGTTCATTCAGAAGGCTATGCGAACGCTCGCAGGCAGCTTTTCTGGCAGCGAACACATCGGTATCTGCTTGGAATGGGCTTTAGAGGAAAATCGTTATGTTATCGGAAATTGTGAGATCTCCGTGCACCATGTGAGAACTGAACTCGTGTTTCATGAATGATGTGCAGTGTTGATGACGTGCCCAGAAGCTCATCGCTTACATACGGGAACACAACACACTCGCGTTATTGTATGGCGGCATGAAAACGGATCAGGGAAATTTCACCAAACGCGGACGGGACACGGACTAACAATGCAAACGATCCCGTACTTGTGTCAGTTACTCTCGTAAATCTATCCCAAAAAGAGATAACTTTGCATTGTGCATTGCCGTCTTTAGCACTCACCATCGCATAGTTTGTTGGCCTGATTTAAAGTGTAACCTTCTGGGCAGACACTCTCGCCGTCTGGAAAACATCACGATCATGCGTTACTGCAGAAGGCGGCGCATCAGCCGGGAATGCTCTTCTGCGGTGCCTGGCAGGAGCCAGCGCTTGTAAAGAACTGACCGCCATTCATGCGTCCAAGTGCAGCTGTGTGTCTCTTTAATGTGTTGTTTGGTAATCACTCGTCAATCGAGTGAACGATAGCTTGATGAACCTACTGAACTTGTAAACATCTGACGATGGTCAATTGCTTAAGCTCATATTCCACAGCGATGAGGATATCGAAATGCAAGTACGAGAAACAGCATTCACCAGATAGTACCACACCAACGTCAATCGAGGCTGAAAAGTACCTATTTGGCTCCGGCCAGACGGCAAACAACCAGGGTCCACCAAAATCATGGGCTGCACAAAAAGAGTTTAGGAAAGAGGGGTTCGTGTAGAGGTTTGGCGGTTCGTGACAGAGCCGTCCTTGATCTCTAGAGAGCTAATGAAAAGTAAGACGTCACTAATGACATTTGTTTAAATCCCACCATTAGACTCCCGAAATGATTAGATAAGTTAACGACGACCTTAATCGTTAAACTGCCAAGGTCACGAATGACCTCGATCGTTAAACTGCTGAGGTCACCAACGGTACCATCCCTAGTGGGAATCGGACTGACCTTCGGTATCCGGGTCGCGGCCGTCGGTGGCACGCGCCTGGTCGGGCGCCGCCGGTCCAGGCCGGTACACCTCTCGGCTGACGCGGTCCAGGCAGCCGTACGCGCCCGGCTCGTTGAAGCATATGTGGCCAGGCCGGCACTCGTGCACGCGCGTCAGGCACTCGTCCACGTCTGTCGACACGTCACGTGACTACACATAACACCCCAACTCACCACCTGCTTGGAGGCCACGTGTGCTAATATGCCGCGTCTGTCAAGACTCGCCCTAAGTATACACGACTTCTGCCGCCCTACATTGCAATACATCTGCTATGCATCAGCTAGTTTCTCACTTAGCATTGGTCGCGAAGCGTTTGGTATGGGAAGATCCAGAAGGCCACCTGGGTGGGGTGGGGTGGAGGGGTGGGGAGGGTGGGGGGCAGCCAGGCCTAGGGGCCAAAGTCCAAAAGGTTATCCTGGTCTAAAAAGCAATCAACAGATTTCACAATCTCTTACCTCCTGCAGAGCTTTAACACAAGTTTTCCTTCGTAAAAGCTGCTTATATTATTTTAAGTTTGCAAATGTTTATCTTCCAACCTAGGGTAAACTTTGGAGGGGCGGCGGGGGGGGGGGGTTAAAGCGCGGTTAGCTTTCTTGGATCCGCCCTTGCGTTATTTACAAGGATTACAAGGATTTGCGTTGTTTACAAGGGTTTACAGGCGTTATTACTACGTACATTATTAAAATCGGTTTTCCAAACTTCGGCACACATCTGACAGGAGGTTTGGTTTCTCTGGAGGCACCCAGCGCACCGCCGGATGGCTCAATGTAACACTGGCGTCATCCGGAGTTACTCACCGAGACAGTTGACCTGGTCTGGCGCCAGCTGGAAGCCCGGCCGACACGAGCAGCGCACATCCACGCCCGTGTCTGTGCAGATGTCGCCGCATGGGTTGTTTTCCTGACACCTGACGGGCACGCGAGACATAAACTGTGACAACGAAATGCGTTACAGACGGCTTTGAAGTTCTGATCAGACAGAATTTACCCTGAAGGTATAACGCCTAATGCGTAGGAAATGTGATTTTCGGAGTCTCGCGAATCACGAGACGTTGTCGCAACGTAATGTGATTTCAGCAGCGGTGGGCTCGCCTGGACTGTTTCGGTGCTCACGTACCCCTGCTCATTAAAGTGAAAAGACATTATCCCGAGCATAATTTAAGGAAGAACTGACGTCAAAGTAAACCTAACTATGGCCCATACCCATATCGACCAAATCTAAGCCGTTTATAGGTCAGAACACACTGGCGTCTTCACGTGGCCAACAAGACGCACACGGACCACACAGTCGCAGGGAAGAGAGCATTTTGATTTGTTCATGCATATCAGCGACCAGGGTACTACAGAACATCTGAACAACGAACCGTAATAGCCAATACAAGCCTGAAACCTGACCAGGTGGCAACGATCTACCACGCGCCGGGCCCAGAATGACACCAGCCTGAGATCGGGTTACACTGACCTGTCACAGGCCGGGTCCAGAGTTACACTGACCTGTCGCAGGCTGGATCCAGGGTTGCACTGACCTATCACAGGCCGCGGCCGGGGTTACACTGACATGTCACAGGCCGCGTCCAGGGTTACACTGACCTGTCACAGGCCACGTCCAGAGTTACACCGACCTGTCACAGGCTGGGTCCAGCGAAGCAATGACCTGTCACAGGCCGTGTCCAAGCGGACACCGACCTGTCACGGATCGGGTCCAGGAAGAGCTGACCTGCCACGGGTCATGTCCAAGGAAGCACTGACCTGTCACGGTCCGGGTCGGAGGAGACACCGACCTGTCACGGATCGGGTCCAGGGAGACACTGACCTGTCATGGACCTGATCCAGGGAGACTCTGACAGGAGTCTCCCTGAACCCTATCGGTGAGGCAGTTCAGTTCCAAAGAGAAGCGTCGATGTCTCCTTGGATCCGGCCGGGACGGGTCCAAGGAAACACTGACCTGTCACGGGTTGGGTCCAGGGGGACACTGACACGTCGTGGACCGGTTCAAGGAGCCTACTGACCTGTCACGGCCCGGGTCCAGGGTGCAGGACTTGGCGTCAGGGCCGAGTGCGAAGCCCGGCCGACATTCACAGCGGTAAGATCCAGGTACGGAAACGCAGAGATGAGCGCACAGCTGACCCACGAACAGGTCACAGATGTTCTCCGAGTCTGCGGCACACGCAGATCATTCCACCGATGACCGTTGATGCGATGAGCTATAGACATACAACTAAGAGATAGTCTATCATGGCGAATGAATGGGGGCCACATGGCTATGCAGTGGGCTATTTGATGAAGATTGTCTGGGCTCTCGCAGCAAACGAAAGCCTGAATGATCAGTCGTAGCTGGAAATGAGATAAAAACGTGATGAAGCGTCATATAGGTATTGGAGGGATATACCCGAGCAGAAGTCGGGTAGCATGGAATAAACACGCACACCATGTGGGACTGCCAAATTGCGACTCAGATGCACGCATGCCGTGTGGCCCGACATGCGTGCGCGGCGGGCAATTTGAGAGCCGCGCACGGTGGAACCACAGAGGCTCACACGCGTCTCCACATCACGTGATTTGCGTTCACTTGGATCCGTCCAGTGAGAGTCGCTGCCCGTCCCCGTCTCAGTCCGTCCTAGAGGGATTTAAAGGAAAAGGTGACCACCAGGCCGAAGGTTCAGAACAGATATTGGCTGTGTTCCACCCCAGCGTGTCACCCACACTAGGCTGTCGGAGCGGCGGCCGGCAGATTGATAATGCCTCCCTCGTCTGGCTCACGAGACGGCAGGTCTCCTGAGACGGACCTGCTATCGCGTGAACCACACGAGCACGCGGATCCTAGAGCCCGTGCACAGCACCTTCCAGTTTCAGCATCTCTTATCTCGGCAGCATACCCGGGTGGGCTCACACGAGAGGTAGTAGTGAGAGCGGGGGCGGCCGCAGACCACAGCGCCACTGGCCGTCCGCAGAGGCTGGGTGTGGCCAGGTCAGGATAGAAGCGTCATCTTTGTCTCAGTCATCGTCTCGCAGAACTGATCGACCCGCGCTTACGCAACCAGACCACCTCATCCTCGACCGCAAACACATATCCACCCATCCCCGCGCATCGGCCCACTCGGCGGCGAGCCCGGCCGCCTCACGCGGTCACAGCACGAGTCCACGCCCGCCAGCGGACGGGGGCGGGGTGACCCGGAGGCGTGCGCGGGGGCGGCGGCGCGACCCACCTGACTCAACCACGTGCTGTGAGCCGTCGGGCAGAGTGGGCCGCAGCGATGGGATGACAGGGTCCACCGGCGAGCGGTCGCTGCAGCACGACAGAAAGCTGTTCTCCCACGGGTGGCCGAACTTGAAGCGCGTGAATGAGCAGCCCATGCCCATGGGCCCCACCAGCAGGCCCAGCTTGCAGCCCTCACAGCAGTCCTGCGGCGCAGAGGTTGGCTCGTTACCGCTCAGCACTGTCACAGCGAAGGGCTGTCATTGTTGGCTGCAAATTATTGCCCATTGTACAAGAGTGTCGACTTCTTAGGGATGGTGTATGTATGTCCCCATTGCTGCCAACACAGGAAGGACTTTCGATCGTCATAAGCATGGTGAACAATTGTTACAACTCTCACAAATGTAACGAACGCCCCGTTAATCAAAACGCGCATTACAAGCATTTGTCATCATCCTCATCCTCATCCAAACTCGAAGATATTCGAGTGCAAGACCAACTGTCAGGGGCAGCAGATCATGAGGCTGTCAGGGGCAGGGGCAACTGTCAACTGTCAGGGGCAGGGGCAACTGTCAACTGTCAGGGGCAGCTGACCACCCTCCCGCATTCCGAGCAATATCAACATCAACCCTACGGCAGCGCATGAAAAAAATATGAGACCAAGATAGCATTCAGCCCTATCTCCAGAGACATGCCGCCGCCACTTCCAATTGCTCCAATTGGAGCATGGCATGTCGTGTTTAAATTTTTTCGTCATATTTTTTGCAGTCACTGGTTTCCAATTCACCTTCAAGAATTTGTGAAATTCAATGTCTGTCCAATCAGCCAACTAACGTCAAACCACGTGCAAGGCCAAATGTTATCCAGTGGAGCCAGTAACACGAGGCAGGGATCTGAACCCCTCCTGGAGCTTACTTCGTCCTGCGCAAAACTCTTCGAGCTGATAAAACCGATCACGATACCCCAGTAATGCACAAAATCATCCGGGCCGAATTTCGCAAGCCATTTCTGTGGACAGCGTGTGACAGGTGGGGGTCCGGACGCGCCGGCCAATGCGCCGTCATGTCATGGAGCACCTTGTAGAAAACCTGGCTGGGCGCGCTCCTCTGCAGCTGGCACGGCTGCTGGTTTTTGGCCGCCTCCGTGCCGGCCGAACATCTCATCTGCCTGCCGGGCACGAGGCATCACACTCCAGCAGCGGCGGCGACACACGGGGCGCGGAGCACGCCGTCACGGGCCCACGGCAGCAGTCGTCACGGAGGTCAGCCTTCTTGCTAATGCCCGGCGATGCAACAGGCTGTCACACGCAGACGGAGTCGGCCTCCATTGCAACGAACGGCGCAGACGCCGGTCAGTACGGCGACTTCAGCAGAAGTAAAGCCGCCCGCCATCCCCAGACCATTCAACAATTGACCAGACAACTGAATGCAGTGTAAATGACGTGCAACTGCTGAGTGCTGTTGGTATGCAGATTGCATAGAAGGGGCTGACCTATTAATTTATATAAACTAAGAGACTGCTTTTGAGTACTGTCATGATGGTCCGGCAGTGCAAAGCGCCACACGCAAATGATTTTTAAATTCTTCCGAAAAGAGCCAAACATACGCGAGAGCGAGTCAAAGCAGTCGGCGGAGCACGGCACGATCTCGTCATCCAACACCCTGCAACAAACAAATGATTCGCCCACAGGCAGCGAGCAGGACTACTCCCAGCAGTGGGCGCCTATGACGACGCCATCGGCTCTGCTTTGTTGCCGCTGACCGTTGTTTCCTGCTGCAGCAGATGGCGCGCACGGCAGCGCACATGGCCTGCTCCTCGGCGGCCACATCCGGCACGGGCGTCGAACTGACCACACAGACCCGGCCGTCCCGGGCGCTGCGCGAGCCCAGCCGGCAGCAGTGCTCGAACGTCGGCTCCACGGCTCCTGTGGGCAAGCGACGGCGGCTCAGTGGAGGAGGCGCTGCGCTAGTGAGGGGCCGGTCACACTGACACGGCGCGGCTCAGGGGAGGAGGTGTCGTGCTGTGCAGGGGCGGATCACGCTGACACGGCGCGGCTCAGTGCAACAAAGGGCAAGCCAGGCAGAGACAGATCAGGGTACACGGGCACAGGATGGCTACACTCACACGTGACCGACGCGTCAGACTACATTAACAACATTGACACGCGCTGCATTGCTTGCAGATTATTGTTAACAACTATTCACGCATAATAATACATATTATGGATTCGGAGGAGGAGGAGGACACGTGAACCGTCGGCGTCACTATGTGAATGCACCCCTATTGAGACATTGCATGCCACGACGACGCAGACCAGACCCCCTTGTTGTCGATGAAACCATTCTCTTAATTCCTGCGGCGACCCGGGAGAAATGGGCGGAGGTTTATTGATCCCAACGGGAGTAACTTTAGAAAGTGATTGTTGAAAATTTCAAGATTGACTCACTACATGGCTGAAATCCAATCGCATGACGTGACCAAAGAGACGGTGCCAGGTTCACTTCAAACCGGCAGACGGCATCGTCGCACGCAGACAAGCGGACACTCAGGTGTGATCAGACAGAGACGGGCTGCCTGTCTTGCTGGGCTCTGCGCGAGTTTACCCCTCGTCACCGACTGCGCCGCGAGCTGTCCCTGTACGAGGGAAGGTCAGACCAGCGCTGGGCGCGCCTGCCCAGCGAAGCCAGGCGGCCCTGCAGAGCGGTCCGTCTACCAGCTGGTGGCAGCGGCGCTGCAGCTGGCTCGGACGCGCTTCCGGCAGTCGGCCGGTAAACAGAGCTCGGCTCAGCGGACGCCGATGTCAGGCGGTGGCGCGTCACGCGGGAGGCGGCCTTGCAAGAGACGTGGCGAACACCTGGCCGACGAGAGAGGGAGAGAGAGAGAGAGAGAGAGAGAGAGAGAGAGAGAGAGAGAGAGAGAGAGAGAGAGAGAGAGAGAGAGAGAGAGAGAGGAGATGGGGGAGGAGAAAGAAAGAGAGAGGGAATGAGCACGCGCGCAGGGCTGGAGTGATGTTCCCTTGCCTGTCAGTGGTTCTGAAGGCGTTCTGCCGGCCTAATCACACTAATTGACGGACGCCGCCGTCTGATCCCGCCCGGCCGGGAGCTGGTCTGATCCCGGCGAGCCGGGGAGCTGCCAGATCGGCTGCGCCCTACCTCAGCACCGGCACGACTGGAAAGAGGACGCCAGAGGCGCGCCGGCCGGGCTGTTGGCTCGCCTTATTCGCTCGGTGCTCTGTGATGTGTGGGTCTGTGCCGTCGACCCCAACCCAATACCGCAGCTTCCCAGCGTACCATCGCTGCTAGGACGACCTCACTGGCTGGATGGCGCATGAGCATGACTCCAGTGCCTCATATATGACGGGCAGAGTCCGCACATTGCGCATAAGCATTACGTCCGAGGGAATAAGGAAATGACCTACGAGGGAGTGACCGGCCCAAACGTCAGTCGCCACAGAACACTACCGGGGATACAAACCTAGCTATATAATGTGTTTGAGGTCACTTCAGTTTATATGCGACTTAACAGGTGGTTAAATGCCCAGATGGTTAAATTAACGGATGGCTAAATCCCCACAGGTAATCATTGCAGGGAACAAGTGCGCTCTTTGAGTCCGTGATGGGATTGCGCCACCTGAGCACGTACCCGAGCACCTTTATTCCGGGACTGCAATTTTCGCACCGCCACCTCCTGACATACCCTCATCTTTGACGTGATCTGACCTGACTCAGCGCCGATATTCAACAACCTGGTAAAATTCCAATAACTGGACGCCAGTGCAATGTCACAACGGTTTCCGGCATGTTGCAACTCTCCCCAACTGACGGTCGCCCTGTCGCACCTCAGGCTAATTTTTGGAATTATATTTACCTACAGGCGGCGCAGCATCTATCAATCTAGTGTGTGCATTTATTTGAAGCACTCAGTCTGTCTGCAAAATGAGAAGTGGATTGAAATATGTTGTAGTTTCGCTACTTACCCTGACCTATGGCGCCGCCAGCTACCTTGGCGTCGCCGCAAAAAGATGTCCGAGGTCGTAAAGTCTGCTACCATCGAATGCATTTAGGATTGGCGAAGAAGGTCTGCTGTTTCCAGAGAAACAGATGGACACGTATCTGCCAGCAAGCCACGCACGGCTAAATGCCTCGTTAATATCAGGTCAACCCACGCCCGGCCCTGCACTTTGGACTTGGTTGCATGGAAGGAGGCAAAGTAGTGGTGTCCCGCTCGGCCGGGGGTCCGGGACAACCCCGCCCGGCTGGGGCAAGTTGACCTAGTCCCTTGGATCTCCGAGTTTCAGACGCTGTGTGGGGAAAAAAAGAAGCTGTTTTGTAGGTATCGTCAAATCACGAAGAACCCACCCAAAATTATTTATCTTAGACCAAATGTGACGTCACCAGAAGTCACAAAGTGTCAAAAACGTTCGTTCTGATGGACGCGGTTAAAACTTATGTTAACACGTCAAGACGGGTGTTGAGTTCACGGAAATAAGCGTTAGACCTGTGAGGAGTTCATTACAACCATTTTTATTCCTTTGCATAGGTCAGGTCAGATCAGGTCACCGTTTAAAACCGGTCTGCCAGAAGCATACAAGAACGGCATGTTTTCGCAATGTGCTTCTTCGTTCCTTTTCTTTGGTGTCGCTGTGAGAAACACCGATACGGTCTTGGGGTAATTTAGAGGTCATCTGAGGTCAACTCAGGCCAAATTTGTAAACCAAGTAAAACAAATGAAGCGTTAACCGAGTCTATGTGATCAGTGCAACGCCTCGCTGTGGTCAGGCAAAGTGAATTGTACATCTAAAGGTACTCAAGATCGCATGGCTGTTGTGCACACTATACATAGCTCCGTCGATGCTTGGCAATGTATTAGCCAAGCCAGAAAGGGGGCGTCGGAATATTAGATCAGACCTTATCAGCTTCATAAACGCGATAAGGGAGTAGTTGCACGCACCGCACTCGTTCATTTAGCCTCTCATCTGCTGGTCATTGACCTTGGATACCCTCATATGACACGGCATGTCCTCACATGAGCTAATGTGACATCATTTTGCATTATAATTATACCACGACATGTTTACAGTGGATGCATCCCAAATTACCAAATAAAACTTCCAATTTTGAGCTCAGCATGTGCTTTGCAGAGAGTACCCATAGAGATAGGTCATGGCTTAGACCAAGATCATGTGCTCTGTGGTCCTCATGGTTGTACATGTAAGTTAGTACTCCTTCCCTCGCATGCAAAAATACCCAAACAAATTGCATTTTTGAAAAGTAACAAATTTGACCTGTCTTTAGGTCAATGGCCTTGCATTTCCCCACAATCTGAAATTACAAATTGTAGGCACTAACATGCTCTATTACTGTAGCACGTTTGAACAATAGAAAATGACCCACAGAAAATGTATGGTTAAAGCCTTTTAAAAGTTGAGCTTTTTGACCTGACCTAAGTCACTGACCTTGATAGACCAAAATTTCAACTTTGCACAAAGAGTGCCAACTTAATAGATGAACAGGTACTGAAAATGTCGTGCTGCTCCGAATGTTCGTTTCTGAACTGGGCCCAAAAAACCGTAGGAGCATGGCAACTTACCCCGACCGGGTGCGGGTCAAGTAATCATGCACTTGTTAGTTCCGATAAAGAAGTGGATTCATGATGTAATTCGTGTATTTGTCGCCCAGTTACCCTGCAGGTGCACAGATGTCTAGAAGGTGCCGCGACTGTCGGTTTTTAGTATTAGCCCATGCCATAAATTGATATGCCTACCTCTTTTGAAAATCAACAGGCGCTGGGTATATGTAAGCTGACTATATCTTCTAAAACAATGATGCACTCTGGTATTTCTGCCGCATCAATTGCATGTTGAGTAAATTTGGCCCGGACTTGAGTGAACAGCACGGGTGTTTGCAGGCAATAAAAGCACAAAGTCGTTAAGAGTAGCTGTGATCGGTTACAAGATGCGGCAAGTAGCAATGGCCCTCGCTACATACCCCCCCGCTTTGAGCACTGCCATGCCAATCCAGTGAGATGTTGGATTTGCAAGGCGGCGCTGTCTATAGAACAGCCAGCAAACATGTCCAGGGACATAGTTGCGAAATATGATTCGATCCCCCTAGGACGTAGCAAGGGGTAGCTGGAGGGACCCCAGTGTCTATAAAACGTGGACCTCACCAACAACGCGAGAGCGAGCAAAAAGGGCTAATGGAAGGCACCGCACGATATTGACAATTGCCAAGGGTATGGAGCGAGCGCTTGCTTTGGACGCCAAGCCCACGTGGCATGTGCAACGATGCGGTGAGCGTGCGGCGCAGGGAGGCCTGATCACCAGCATGTCAGGCGATATGACCATGTTTACGTTAGGAGAAATTCCGCGCCGACCAAGGCGCGTCAAACGCGATAAACCCGCCCAGTGCCGCCGGACCTCTGTTCGCCCCAGGCCTGCGTCCCTCCGCAGGGGCCGAGCCCTGGCCGGCCGCGAGCGGCGTCCCACGATGGTGGACCTTTGCAGCGCTGGACCATGAGCACTGTCAAACCAGGAATGGTGGTACTGCTGGTGGTACTGCTGGTGGTACTGCTGCGTCTCACGATGGTGGACCTTTGCAGCGCTGGACCATTAGCACTGTCAAACCAGGAATTTTCGAGACGGCGTGGAATGCGAACTCAGGTCGTAGACACATTGGTTTCGTATTGTGTCGGTCATAAGCGTGATGTGATCGTATTTCACTGCTCCATCAGAAAAGATGCGTCGGCCTCCCATTTCCTGGGAGGTCTCTAAAAGCTAAGTTCCGTCTAAACCACTATAGCTCTGTAATCCGGAGTGAAGCTAAAAACGATGCGCCGCTCTGCCTCTCGGCAGCACCGCGTCGCAAATCTCCGCAGTTCTCGGGCGCATGCACGTAAACAGACCAACCTTAATCGCTTCTCCATAGAAAGCGATTGGCCGAGCCTGGTTTAAGCTATTTTTTAGCCGTTCTTTTCTGGCTGAAAGCGGGACATCTGCTGTCAAAGTTGGACGGTTCAATGCTCTCCTTATAAGTATACGCATAGCTGGGTGAACATACCACCATGTTGCGTATGGGTGAAACATCGGATGTCAGCGCATTCGGGTAAATGGTTCCAAGTCAGAATACCTCTGGTGTAACCGACGCTCAAAAACGCTTTCAGTCAAGGACGAACGCGCGCAGTAGCCTCTGGGGGTACATGCCTCCGCCCTCCCCCCCCCTCCCCGTAACCAAATTTATGGCATGCATTAATGTATACGTTACTACATGTCCATAGTTAAGAATTCGAAGGAGGCATAACAAACTGAGAAAATCGAAAACATGCCATACTGCCTTACGTCACACCAGGAAACGAGAACGGCTGCGACGCACTTAACTCAGTCTTCACTTATTTTATTTTGTTATTTCAATTCTGCCCCCGCCCCTCCTACAAATCTGCGTACGCCCTGCTTTCAGTCGTCTGCAAGGCGACAAATACAGTGGTCGTCTGTGCATGTATTGCTATCGTTAAGTCAATGGTCCTAGTAGGCGAAATATGACGAAGGCATTCCGATTTCGATCCATCCCCGAAAAGTCCCGTTGCGTAAAATTTTGATCGTCCCCAAACCTGCTATACGCAACTGGGTGAATCCAAGGAAAAACGCCGCGTGTATCGTATCGTAAAGTGGCAAGTCTGGTCATAAGAAGCCTCAACGTCGTAGAAAAATAACCTCATGCAAAAACACACTGCACACATAATCTGAAGCAGTGGCACGAACTGAAACGCATTTTCCGCTTAGATTTGAATCAATAATCGAAATATATATATCAAGTGGATCGCGATGCACAAAATTGTTCAGCGCTGAAGTAAATCTGTAAGTCATTAAGAATAACATAACGTATGTTGAAACAGCTTAATGAAAAACGACAACCCAGCCCCTGTCTAAGGCCCCCTACGCCGATCTTCACAGTTGCCATCGATATACATAAATTGCAAGTTGTTGGCTTGCCCACAAGCAGATTTGTCCACAAAATTCCAAGAATCTTTTACTCACTGTATATTGTGGGATGGAGATGCGGAAGACTTGAGGGCAAAAACCAATAATCTAACAAGGGCGGGGCACGAGCAATGATCATTTACTTGGCGAAACGGAAGAGACCGGATTGAGCGCGATCATCGCCAGCCGCAGACAATCCACGCCCGAATATGCTGCGAGCCGCTGGCGGCGTGGCGCCCCGGTCGACGACCAAGCCCGCTCACCTGACGCCGTGTTCAGCCCCGCGCAGAGGGCGGCGAGCAGCAGCAGCGCGGCGGCCGACGTCATGACGATGCGGCGGTAGGAGCGGGCGCTGCAGCCGGTGCCGTCAGCGGCGGCGGCCGTGCATGAGAGCGGCGCTGGCGGCCGGCGTGCGGACTGCGGCGGCCGTCGAGACCGCTCGGCTGACGGCCGCCAGATGCGCGTCTGTTTACTGGAGCCGCGCGGCGGCCGCCGCCGCCCGGCCGGCCGGCGCCGCGCCGGAAACGGAGAGCCGCGCGCCGCTTGACGTGCCGACACCCACGCGCTGACACACTGGCCCCCTGACGCTGGCCGCATGATGTGCGCACTGCACACCCACGCACCGCACACACATGGTCTATGTGCGATGCACACCCGCACGCTGATGACCACGTAGCTTGAAGCACACGCGCATACAACAATGTGCATGACACTCTTTTACGCTTACCCTGCGTGAACACACCACGTACTGTACGCTCGTGTTGTGTGGCTCCCTCTTGAACCGTTTGCAAGGTCCTGTTCAAGGAGTGCGCAGAGTTCTTATGGTGATTGGTTCCGGGGTAAAGCGGGAACAGATCGTCGTGGCAGAGCCTAACACCGGGTTTCTGAAAATGTTTACTGCTGGCAGTGGTTCACCGAAACAGCCAGGAGCATTGCAAATCCAGATACAGAAATGCATGCCCAAATGCCTGCGTTCCGTCGTGGTTCGCTGAGAACCTTCACCTCCCGTCATTTGCACCACCCACATCATGGCGTGGCACCTAACTCTGGGTGTTGGCTACTCACTGTCGGACCCAGCTGCGCGGGAGCCGAAGCGACAGCTGCCCGGTAGCTAGCGGCTGACCGGCCCAGGGTGACCTGCCGTGCGGCCCCCTGCGTCAACACAGTCAGTCAGGCTTTACGCGCTGACTGGGTATTCTCCTTGACGGTTTTCTGAGATGTTAAGTGCAACGACAAATGTTGACCGTGTGTGGCCGGTGGCTTGTACACCAGCTATGATATCGTAAAACAGATGAGCTGGATGTCATCCAGCTCTCCGGCGAGTGAACTTCACGCTTGACTTACTCTTGTGTCATGTCACGCTATGACACAATATACCTTTACAATGGCATGGCCATGGTATGTGCCGCAATAAAGCGCCCTCTACACTTTGGCCCGAAGCTGCTCGCTATCGACCAACATCACTTACTTCGTTCTGTCGCTAAAAACATCGGAATGCTTACACCTTCCGAGACGTCACGCACGCACTGCAATCATCATAGGCGCATCGCTTGCCGGGAAAAGTAAGACGCAGAGAGTTGTATGCCTCGCATTTGTGAGCGACGTCGAGAACGCCTTGGAATTGAACCACGCGCAACCTGTCGTACATTGCGTGCTGTTCATGTCTGTCAGGCAGCATTCGTAACCACGTGCTTCGCACCTACGTCTCCGTTGCCGTGTCCTGATGTGAGGACTGCCGTGATGAGAGGCGGGGTCATGCCACTGGATCGCTACTGCGGCCGTCTGCCACGGAACAACGTCACGTGGCCACAGTGTATTGGTGGAAAATCGGCCCGCTCCACCGCAACATCACGCCAGATATCCTGGTCAGAGAACAGCAACATCTCACCGCACTAACAACGATAACACGCGCACAGGGCGCTGAAGGCGTCAAATAACGATGCCTGCCTCCACTGGTGGCCGAAGTTCAAAGCGAAGGAAACAGTCGTTGCTTCAGTATAAACTGGAAACGATATGGTGAGGCACGCAGAAAACCAGACCGCCTTGCCTGCGCCAAATTACGAAAACAGCACTGCTAGACACGCAACGGTAAAAGCTAACAACCAACATGGCAGTACTATTAGTTCATCGCATCCAAGCCTGAGATGGCTGAGCTTTGCGTCTTAGACCAGCCCACGGCGAGGAGGAGCGGCTGGTCACATGGGCGCCGTGTCCACCTCCGAACGCGTCCTGCCGGGCGCAGCCGGGAGCCGGGGCACGGATGGAGGCGTGCGCAGCGTCCCGCCTCGCACCCGTGCGGCTCCCGGGTCACCACGGCGTCCGCCTGGCCGGTCGGCGGCTCGCGCCGGCTGCCTCGGTCAGCAGCACCTCCACCTGGCGGGAGCTTCAGGAACGTCCGCCTCACCGGCCGCCGTCACCGAACAGTTGGCACTGCGGGACGCCCCAGCCGCGTCCCGCTACTGCCCGCCCTTCCGACGCACGGCTTCGGGACTAGTGCGTCCACCGCAAGCTGGCGGCTTCGGGATGTCTTCACGTCGCTGCGAAAGGCCGTGGTCGCGCCCGAGAGGCGGGCCCCAGACCCAACTCGGGTGCAGGCGGCGCAGGCGCAGGCTGTCGGCCGCCTGCAAGGGACGGCGGGTCGGGTGGGTAGGGTTCGCCTGGCGAGGAGGCTGCACTGCTGACGGCCAACCTCTCACAAAGACCAAGAACGACACGAGACACAAACACGACGACAAATGGGGCAGGGACGGAGATAGACGGATGCGTCTGCCAGGTAGTTGGGTGTCAGACGGAAGTTGAACGCACTCGGTCGAAATCAGTTGTACCCGTGCCAGCTGCAGCACGATCAGGCCAGACATTGAGCCCATGTGGCGACAGTTCAACATCTACCAAAGCATCGCAAAGCACTAAGTAATCACAGAAAAAGGGTGCTGCGTGAATATAGGTGCGAATCGCTGCTCAACCCGCTTCTCGCAAACACACCTTCGAAGAGCTGAATATGGATCGTCGTTTGGCCGGGGGCGGGTTGCCGTCCAGTTGACAGGTCTTCGCGTCCGACTCCGATCCTGGGGACACAGCATGTCAGCTGCGTCGACCCACAACCCGGACTGATCCTCCCCCGACCCGGAGGACCAGACCAGGGTCAACGGTTCCGGCACACGACCTGACCTGACCTGACCTCTCTCCAACCATCTGGGGTCGCGAGCAGCGCCAGTGACGTCGACATTACCCTCCTCCCAACCAAGGTCCTCCGAACCAGGTGCCCCGACGACGGCGATGTCGCCACCGCGGGCTCCAACAGCGGGGTAAAGCTACAGCCCGGCCTCCCCGCCGTGGGCGTCCGCTCTCACCGTGCCGCCAGCCAGCGCTGACTGCGCCGCCTGGCCGCGGCGAGGTCTTGGTCTCGGCCGGCCCAGGGGAGGCGGCAGCGGCGGCGGCGGCGCTGGTGGGAGATGCGGCGTCGGTGGCGCTGGTGGGAGATGCGGCGTCGGTGGCGCTGGTGGGAGAGGCGGCGTCGGTGGCGCTGGTGGGAGGGGCGGCGTCGGTGGCGCTGGTGGGAGAGGCGGCGTTGGTGGCGGGCTGGGCGGAGCGAACCTGGCTGGGCGAACCTGGCCCCTGCCACCTGCGGGCAGGGCGGAGCAGACGGACACGCGCGGCACCGCACGCCCACATACCGACACTTGAACCCATCTCCCAGATCAATGGAACACCACCTAGACCTGCCCATAGCGTACGGAACATGGTGGTGCTGCGCTCTGGAGATCCGTACTACAACTCACGCCGGGCGGGTAAATTTTTCACAGCGTCAAAAACAATTCATAATTACAAATCAATGTTCACAATCGATTTGTGAAATCGATATCGGAATGCGCTGATATGTCCGAGACAACCAACATCTGCCGTAAGCCGAGGCGTCAGCTGGCCTTCGGTGGCCATGTCGCCCGGGCGTTGGCCGGCGCGTCACCTGCCGCTGTGCTCCTGCCCACCGCCGGGCCCGGCCGGGTCGGCGTACAGGCGGTTCAGCCGGCGCTGCTCTGCTAGCTGGCGCCGCTGAAACTCGTCCACCTGCAGCGGCGATGCGGGGCAGGCCGCCGGAACGGACCAGGCACCGTCCCCGCCACAGCCGGGCGCCGGGGGCTGCGGCAGACCCAGTGGCAGCGGCATCTCATGTCACAGTGGGGGAGACACGTATTCTTCGACCGCCGGACATTGGAAGCGTTGCGGGTCTACAAAGCACCGCCAGGGCAGATAGAAAGAGTGAAATATGAGGAGCATCGTCCGTGAGATGGAGTTGCGACAATTTGAATTTTCCTTGTTGTAAAGTATAACGTAATTTGGCTTTCACTGGATGACAATAATTGAGTGGTGCGTGCAAAGGTGATAAACACGTTCCACACCATTGCTGAGGATTACAGGAGCCCAAACGTGTTGCTCCGATGAAGACCTGACGCGCACGCAACATTCCAAGCCGCACAGACCTGCGCTAAATTTCACAGTTAATCGCGAGCAAAGTTTGACGAACCTCTACTGCGGAACCCGGCAGCACATCACAACGTGCGCCTGGCCATGCGCGTCGGCGGTGAGCCTGGTCTGCCTGGCCGCGCTCCGCCCGACGGTGGTGTGCGGGCCGGGCGGACCGCGACGCCGCCGAACGGCGTCCTGCCGACCTGCCGCACAGCCGCCCCACCCGACGGTGACGTGCGGGCCGGGTGGACCGCGACACCGCCGGACGGCGTCCTGCCGGCCTGTCGCGCGGCTGCCCCGCCCGACGATGGCGTGCGGGCCGGGCGGACCGCGACGTCGCCGGACGGCGTCCTGCCGGCCTGTCGCGCAGCCGCCGGTCCAACTGAGCGGACAACCGGAGCCGTCACGCTCGGGCCGCCACGTCGCCTCACCTGCGGAGCTCCAGCCGCCTTCCGCACGGCGAAGTACTCGGTGATGGCGCGGTTCAGTCGAGCTGGTGGCGGGGAGCGGCGGGCCGCACTGCCAGCGGCCGCCTGCAAACACACGGCCCGCCAGGTCAGGTCAGGTCAGGTCAGGCGACGACCGCGGAGAGAACGGAGCTGTGGCCAGTGGGCGCCACTCGCAGCTCGACATGCCAGCAGCGACGTGCCGGCAGGTACGAGCAGGCACGCGACAGAACACCGCCGACGGCACGCACACTGGAAATATCAGAAGGCGACAGCACGCATGCCGCCCAGCGTTTACAGTCGCACCAGAGAGTAAGCAGTGACATTCCCAACACCGCAGCGGCACAGTACCGCAGTGTCAGTGCTTGCCCCTTGCCACCGTGTCAGCGAGCGGTGAGCCATTCGCTGACACCAAATGAATAGCTTATTAACTAACGGATGAGCCCAGAGGCCGGTATCAAACGCCAACGCTCT